GTCTCTGGGTGACTCCAGCTCTACTTCGTCTATTGACATTCATAATGCTCTCTACACCAATTCCGGACGAGGCAATGGTCTGGGTCGTGGCCGTGGACCACAGCGAGGCCGAGGAGAGCCTTACCGCGGCAGTCAGCCCGGGGGCAGAGCTGGCAGCCGCAATACCGCGACGACGCACGCGGCAGAGGAGGTGGCCGGGGGTCCATCACGTGCCAATCTGTGGGAAGCCTGGCCATGCGGTCTGGAATTGTTGGCACCGCTACGACGAATCATATGCTGGTCCTCCGCAGGCGTTCTATGCAAATCAATCTGCTGAATCTAGTTCGAACTGGCATCTGGACACTGGTGCAAACACTCATGTCACGCCTGATTTGTCTCGGCTGCATACTTTGACTCCGTACCATGGCACCAATTCCATCACAACTGCAGGAGGTAACACCTATCCCATTGAACATACAGGCTCTGGTATACTCACCACCCCTCTCCACACTTTTACCTTAACCAACCTTCTCCATTCCCCTCACATTAACTCCCATCTGCTTTCAGTCCATCAATTTACTAAAGATAACAATTGTTCTCTTCTTTTTACCTCTAAGGATTTTACGATTTGGGACAATCTCACCAACCAAGTTCTTTTCAAGGGCCCTTGTGAGCGTCGTCTGTACTCCATACCGGCATCTTCCTCTTCTCTGGTGGTCAACTCTGTCAAAGTCACTCCGTTTCAATGGCACTGTCGTCTTGGTCATCCCTTAGCTTCAGTCACTAAGTCTTTATTGTCTCAATTAGGTTTTAAATTTCAGCATCTTGATCATTGTAATTCTTGTTCTCTTGCTAAGTCTCATAAACTCCCCTTCCCTGTGTCTGAAACTAAAACTTCTGCTCCTTTTGAACTTGTTCACTCTGATGTATGGGGACCTACTTCTGTACCCTCCTTTGGAGGTTATCATTTCTATATTAATTTTATTGATGATTATACCAAGTTTTGCTGGTTGTACCCTCTTAAAAATAAATCTGATGCATTTGATGCTTTTCTTAGTTTCCAATCTATGGTTCAAACTCAGTTTAATGCACGCCTTAAGCTGTTTCGCACAGATAATGGGAGGGAATATGTCAATAAAAAGTTTGGTCTGTTTTTACAAAATTTGGGGGTTCTCCATAAAAAATCTTGTCCTTACACTCCTGAACAAAATGGTGTCGCTGAAAGAAAGCACCGTCACTTGGTTGAAACTCTTGTCACACTTCTTTGCACAGCCAATCTCCCAGCAAAATTTTGGGTTGAGGCGTTGGCTACTGCAAATTTCCTGATCAACCGCATGCCAAAAACGTCTCTTAATAACAAATCCCCTTATGAGTCTCTGTTTCACAAAGCTCCAGACTACAATCTTCTCTGGGTTTTTGGGTGTTTGGCTTATCTGTGTCTACGTCATGAAATCACAAATAAATTCCAACCACGGTCCAAACCCTGTGTAGTCCTTGGGTACGACTCCTCGTCAAAAGGATATCGCTATTTTGATCTCTCCACGGGTCGTGTATACATCTCTCGTCATGTCCAGTTTCAAGAGAGTGAGTTTCCATACTCCACCGTCTCCACACACATAGGGTCTTCCGTCATACCTCCGTCATTCCTTGGTGTCCTTCCTATTTTTTCGGTTGAGTCGCCGTGTACTCCGCTCCATGCTCACGAGGATACAACACCCAACCCGCCCAACCCTCTCTCGGCCCTACCCACTGTCCCAAACCCAAAACCTAACCCAAACCCCAACCGCCCAGTACCCAACCCCCTCCCTGCCCGTAACCCAGCCATCCCGCCCAGCACCCAAAACCAACCCAGCCCGCCCAGTTCCCGCCACCCGTCCCCTCCCAGTCCCGTCCCTCAACCCACACCGTGGCCAACCCCCCACCCCGAAACAGTCAGCCCCACAACCCAACCCCACTCCACTCCCACACCTATCCAATTTGGCACCACAATGACAAGTCCCAAATCATCACCAATCCCATCTCCCCCACCATTACCCAACCGGCACCCCATGGCCACTCGTGCACGAAGTGGTATCTTCAAACCTAAACTCTACTCCATCTCCTCTACCTCTTCCCCACCCACCACTGAGCCTGTTACCTATAAAGATGCCTCCCAAAACAGTTATTGGTGTCAAGCTATAGATGATGAGTATAAAGCCTTGATTGATCAGCAAACATGGGAGCTTGTTCCGGCACCTTCAGATCGGGTTCCTATTGGATATAAGTGGATTTATAAAATTAAGCATAACTCTGATGGTTCCGTTTCCAGGTACAAGGCCCGTCTTGTGGCCAAGGGCTACACACAGGAATATGGTTTGGATTACTCTGAGACTTTTAGCCCCGTGGTCAAACAGCAGACTATTCGGATGGTTCTTTCTCTAGCAGTCAATCACAACTGGCCCCTTCATCAATTGGATGTCTCTAATGCTTTCCTTCACGATGTCATTCCTGATGAAATTTATATGAAACAGCCTCCAGGATATGTAGATCAGCAGTATCCTCATTATGTGTGCAAACTAAAGAAATCTCTTTATGGGCTGAAACAGGCACCACGGGCTTGGTACCAGCGTCTGTCAGGGTTCCTTGTTGATTATGGCTTTGGGAAAAATGAACATGACACCAGCTTCTTTGTTAAGCACTCTCCCTCTGGCATTCTCATTGTCCTTCTCTATGTTGATGATATTATTGTCACTGGCAGTGCCTTACCTCTTTTCTCTTCATTCATCGAGGCTATGCAAAAGGAATTTCAAATGAAGAATCTTGGCCCTCTTCACTACTTTCTTGGCCTTGAAGTCACACGCACAAAAGATCATCTGCTTCTATCCCAAGAAAAATATGCCCGGGAACTTCTCAATAAAGCAGGAGTCGAGGATTGCAAACCAGCCCCCACGCCCCTACCCGTACGGCAGCCCGAGGAGGGGGTGAGCCGTCCGTTCGACAATCCCACCTTTTTCCGGAGTTTGGTTGGCTCTCTCCAATACTTGACAAACACGCGTCCGGACATTCAGTTTGCTGTGAATTATGTTTGTCAAAGGATGCATGCACCTATGGAGCAAAATTTTCAGTCCTTGACACGCATCCTGCGATATGTCAAAGGAACCATTGATCGTGGTTTGGTCTTCCGGCGAGGCCCACAGACCATCTACGCATATTCTGATTCTGATTGGGCCAACGATATGACAGATGGACGGTCCGTTACAGGTTACTTGATATATCTTGGCTCTAATTTACTCTCTTGGAGTACGGAGAAACAAAGTCGTGTCTCACGCTCGTCCACAGAAGCCGAGTACAGAGCCCTCTCGGCCGCAGCACCTGAGGTGATGTGGCTCACCTACTTGTTTGACATTTTACAGATCAAGCTCCCTCCTCCACATCTTCTATGCGACAACCAGTCCACCCCTAAGAATCCAGTCTTCCATAAGCGCATGAAACATGTCGGAACGGATTGCCACTTTGTACGAGAACAAGTAGTTACAGAGAAAATGACGGTCTCTTATGTTCCTTCTAATGAACAGCTGGCAGACCTTCTCACAAAAGCTCTTGCCTCGCCACGCTACACTGCATTGGTTGCCAAGCTTCCTCTCGTTTCACGGCGTTCAGCTTGAGAGGGGATGTTAGACATATATGGAAAGAAGTCTAGTTATAGTAGAATTGTTATTTATGTTAGTTTACTTATTTGGTGAATCCTAGTCCATGTAGGAATCCTCACCTATATAAACATCCATGTACACAATTATTCCTTAAGAGTGAATTCATAAATCAACATCCTTAAATATGTTTTTGCATGCCTAAATACACAAAGACACCAATTATACTAATCAGAGTCTAAAGGGTTTACTTATCAATTGATCTTAAAATTTACTTAAGCTTTAAATTTGTATTGTAGTATCATTAATGAGGTCTTGAGTTGAATACTGATTCGAAGACTCTTTTTCTTTGCTACAATTACGGTTTAGGACTAAAATGAGTGTTAAAATCTGGCCAGACTTATCTAATGCTCATAATAAATAATCAATTGGCCAAGTGGGAGAATGTAAGAATATTATATGGCCCTCACGATTATTTATCTTATTAATTGATCAATTACCATAATTATCCTATTATTTTATTAGTAATTACTTGATGAACGTAATAACTATTACCATAAATAATTAGAGATTCTTCGTGGGTGTATAATATAAATAGAGGTCATAACAACTAAAGAAGAAAAAAGGAGATATCATAACATCACACACCAAACTTAAAACCCTAAAAGGGATTTTTGGCCTTCTTCTTGTCCCTCAAAATAGAACTTCCATGTTTTTATTCTTGAAAGAGGACTTACATTACCAAACATGGTCATATACATTACCAAAAAAGTTAGTAATTTGCACATGTACACTGCCACATTACCACAATGCAAAGTCACATTACCACAGTGCAAAGTCCTATTCCGGGAAAAAAAACATGAAAGTCCTATTTTGGTACTTTTCTCTATGTTTTAGTCCTATTTAGGATGATTTCTAAACTTAAAACCCTAAAAGGGATTTTCGACCTTCCTCTTGTCTCTCTAATACATGATCATCAAGATCACCTAATCCCATCCTAAGAAACACACCCTAAAGAGGAACCCGATCAAGATCATGTCTTTGTCCCTCAATCATACAATCATGGGTCTATCAGGTATTATTAATCATTATTCTCGTCTCATTATATGATTGAGGAATCCTAATTTAATACAGCGATCTTCTTTCAGCACGGTACATATTTACTCTTAAGAGAGGGAATACCATACTAAATACAGTATAATTAAGCAACTTTATTTAGTAACCACGGAGTACATATTTACGAACAAGTTATATGGCCACTCACTTGAGTAATCACGGAGGACATTGTCCCAATTGGAACATGTATGATGTTTCGTTCGTAAAATTGTTGGTTTTACTTCTAACCCCTTGATAATCAACCCGCTGTGTCCTGATCCCAACCAATTCTCCCAATTGCAGGATGAAAGTAATTAATTTTGGAGTCAAAATTTTGACACCGAACTCAACTAAATTTTTCCCGCAATTAACATGGTTAGAGGAATGGATTAGAGTCGGGATTAGGTGAGGACTTACTAATGGGGTTAAAAGATAAGAATTATCAATTTTACGAATTAAACATCGTAGAGAGACTTCCGCAACCACTTAAAGAGAGTGGCCATAGAAGCTGGCCATATATTTATGCATACATGACATCATATGCTAATTTGTTGAAAAAGACATCCTTTACGACCAAGTGATTGCAACTGGACTACCCACAACATGCATTCCATCAGACCACTCAATCTCCCCAAACACATTGCTACCCGAAGCCGCCATTGTTGTAGCAGTAAAAGTCACCATGTATGATTGTGTCTCTCCCACATCAGTAAAAGAAAGAGTTTGTGGTTCTACCAATATTTCAACCCCATCTGGGGAAGACACATAAACTTCGTACGTCCCAGATTCTCCGACGTTAGTGAGTGTCCGCGTGTAGTTGATTGAAGATTTCCCGCCCGAAAAAACAACCACGAACGATGGGTAATTGAGATCCGTTACGCTGTAAGTTCGAGTCGGGTCGCAACTGAAGTTTTTTCTTGCCAATGTTAAGATTTGGGATGGAGTATAGTTCAAAGCGCAGATAAAGTCGAGATAATCGTCCGGTTTTATGTCGTAGACGAGCCCTGGATCAAAAGCGGATATTGGGTCGATGTGACCCGACCCGTAATCAAATGGGGTGGATCGCTCTCCTGTCGCGGCGTCTATTAGCTGGTCGCCAGACATGTAGGCCGAGTAAGCCGTGGTCATCAGTGCCGAGCGGACGGCGGCGGGGCTCCAGTCTGGGTGCTCCGCCTTAACGAGGGCGGCTACACCACTCACGTGCGGACACGACATTGATGTCCCTGATTCCATGTTAAACTCCACCCGTCGGGTATCTTCTGGCAAACCCGTTGGACTCCTGGCCCCAGTCCATCCTGCCAGAATATTGACTCCAGGGGCAATAAAGTCTGGTTTCAGTATTTCTGGCGTGAGTGGGTTGGGGCCACGTGAGCTAAAGGCTGCCACCACAGGTGACGGCCTGATGCCCACTTTTGTTCCCCGGAAGGAAATAGTAGTTGTCGCGTTGGGATTGGAGAACAAGTAAGCCTTCACGGCGTCGCCGGTCTTTTTGCTGACGTGAGTCGCCGGAAGTATATGAGCATCCGCCACCAATTCGTCTCCCACTTGGGCGGTGTTCACCAGCACCATCCCCACCCCGCCGGCGGCTTTTACCACCGATCCCTTTTGAACTCTTGAATTTTTCCCCCTCTCGCAAAGTACAATTTTGCCCTTCACCTTCTCCGGATCTAGACTCCCGTTCACACACAGATTCCCATCACTACGGAAACTAACATTTCCGCCGTACACAAAGGGGAGCGCCTTGGCCGGAAGCGGAACGCCTCTATAAAGCGACACCCCAGGAAGTTTAATTCCGTTACCGAGCCTTACCGGAGCCGGGAAAGTACGGTCAAGACTCCCGGCGCCGACGCTCACGATCCACGGCGCGACGTTGGTCACACTGTAAGGGTCGGGACCGCCGTTTCCGACAGAGCAGGAAACAAGAATTCCCTTCTCCGCCGCGGCGAGTGCTCCAACAGCAACGGAGTCACTGAAATAGTCGTCGTAGTAATCGCTGAGAGACAGCGAGAGGACGTCGACGCCGTCTCCGATGGCGGCGTCCATGGCGGCCAAGACGTCGGAGTCGAAACACCCGCCTTTCCAGCAGGCTTTGTAAGCCGCGACCCTGGCGTTTGTAGCCATTCCCCGAGCAGTTCCCTTTGCGTAACCGAGAAGATTGGCACCGGGAACTTGCGACCCTCCGGCGGTTGAGGCTGTGTGGGTCCCATGTCCATTGTCGTCTCTCGGAGACCTGTACTCCAGAGACTCGTTGACTGGCCCCTTTTCTGCCTCATAACCTTTTAGGAAGTACCTAAACATTAACATAATTATATACGAAGCATACTTAAACCCGTCGGCTTTATACGGAGTAGCAAAAGAGTTTTGTATTTTGTAAGTTTTAAAATATATTCAATTTTTATATAAATTTATTATCATTAGATTCATTTTGAAACATAGTTTTAAATATACTATTTTTATAATATATATTTATATAAAAATGGAATTACATGTTATTATCCTAAAATAAAGTTGACAGCATGCACTAGTCTCACAATGTTTTTTGGTATTATACATTGACATTATGAACATTGTAACTTTTTTTTAAAATAAAAATATGAAACTTTTATTTTCATATCCTCCTTTTTTTATCTTAGTTTAACCTTCCTTGACGTCGCCATCCAAAAACTAAAGATATAGGACGGAAGGAGTATAAATTTATTATCATTAGATTCATTTTAAATCATAGCTTTAAATATACTATTTTTATTTTTTATAATATATATTTATATAAAAATGAAGATATTGAAAGTCAAAATGTTGTATTAGAGATCGTAAAAAATCAAATGAAAAGTTAATTTTAAGACGGAGTGAGTAAAGGTTATGTTTAAAAATTTTCACCATTGTCAAATATGGTAAACCGAAAGTTTTTTTTACGACAAATGTAGTAATAGGACAGATGGAAAAGAAAAATTGCTATTTATTTCTAAATAGATGAAGTACTCGGTAATATATTGTACTTCCTCCGTCCCATAAAGATAGAGATGGTTTGACTAAAGTGGTAAAATAAAGAGGGATAATTTTGTGTTGACTTTCCAAAAATACTATTGATATTAGAAAAAAGGTACTCCCTCCGTCCCAAAATATTTGTCACACTTACTTTTTCAGCAGTCGCGAAAACTTTTGTTTATTTCTACTTTTTCATTAGTTATTTGATAAAATAATATATTTTTGGCACATCTTATTTCGAAGAAATTTTCATATAGTTTTTTGATATGTGAATTTTAGTTTTTTATTTCTATACCAATATGTAAATAAAATGAATTGAAAAAACTTGATATTTTGCCTCCAGAATACAAGTGTGACAAATATTTAGGGACGGATGAAGTATGATGTGACAGGTAGGGTATGAAAAAATAAGGGGTAAAAATGATTTTTTATAGAAATGGGAAGGACTTTTAGGAACATGATATTTTTGTAACGTGAAGGATTTTATGGGACGAAGGAAGTACTATGTTGTTCGCCATTACCAGAAAAATAAATTTCAACCGTTTAGTTTTGCTTATTTTAAAATAAACTTGATACTCCGTATTTTTTTATGCTATTGAAATCACTTTTGATTGTAGAAATCACTTGAAATAGAAATAAAATATAGTTCTAATTCCCAAGATAGGAATAACATGTTATTATCCTAAAATAAAGTTGACACTATATACTGGTATGTCACAAATTTTTTTCGGTATAATACGTTAACATTATGGACATTGTAACTTTTTTTCTAAAATAAAAACATGAAACGTATATTTTGATATCTTCCTATTTTTTTTTCTCTTAGTTTAATATTCACTGACGTTCCCGTTCTAAAATTAACTTCTCATTTCACATTTCACAATCTCTGACATTAATAAACTCCGTATCTATTCTTATATAATTATATATTATAAAATAAAACATTTCAAAACTATGTTTCAAAATGAATCTATTGATATTAAATTTATATTAAAGTTTGATTTATTTTGTTATAATATGGTGTAAAAGTTGAAATAGTTTGACCACCAATGTTAAATTGGGAAGTTTAAGTACGTATTATAAGATGGAGGGAGTATTTTTTCTTGTATTTTTTCAAATTTGAGAAACTATTTCAAAGTTCAAACCTCGCACCAACGAGCTTCCGGTTGCAATTCAAGGCGGTGAAATTGGTACCCGTCTCGCACGCGCCTTTCCACGAACTCGGAACCGGGCCAAGCCCATCATCTTTGAAGCTCCTGCTCTCCGGCCAGACGCCGGTGTCAATTACTCCGATGACAATGCCGCTCTCATCAGCAACCAACCCGGGCAACAAGTAATCCGATTCAAGCCCCAGAAACAATGGGGTTCTTGTTGTGTGGAGCACGTACTTCCTCTCCGGCCTCACAGACAAAACCCCAGCCTGGCTTTCAAGAAACAGAGCTTCATCCGCCCTGAGCCTGGCTGAGAACCCGTGGGCCGCGGCTTCGTACACGTAAATCATCTCCTCCGATCCGGAGACCGATTTGAGAGCCGATTCGTACCAGTTTGTGTGGTGATTGAAGCCGGGAGGCATTTGCAGCTTGGCCATGTGAACAATGAATGTCTGCTTTGTTGCCCGCGCTGCCATTGGGGAGGCGCGGTAGAGTTTGGATGATGTCATGAGTATTGTTGCCATTATCACTATGGATTTGAACATTTTGTTGGTGCATTGGGACATTTTTACTTTGCATGCCAGGTTAATGGATTTATGGTTTGATTATATAGATTAAGGAAATACCCAAGTAATGGTGTTGGTTGGAAATGGGGGTAATTTCCCTCATAATTTAAGGGTAACCGTACGTGGAAGGGAAATGATTCATTAATCATTACACTCCCAACTAGCAAAAATCACAAAACCATTGCACATTCCAATCCTATTTTATTAATGTCTTGTTTTGTTAGGGATGACAAAATTTTGTCCTGAACGGCCGATTGGCCGAACCCATTCCGAACTGTTTCATAATGGGACAAGAGCAAGCAAGATATAAATATTTTCTCGTTCTGTCCCATTGTCTCGTATATATGTATATGTCTATTTACTTATATAATGATGTAACACTAAAAAAGTATCACAAATTTTAATTATTTTTTCCAATGTAGATATAAAAAATACTATCCAGATTCAAATATTCTAAAAAATAGGCTAAGACGGGAATACTTAAAAGTTTATACCGTACTAACTCGACCCACCCAATTTATGGCTCATAGCTTTTATGAAGTTTATAGTCTTCACTTTTGATGTATGTTGTAACATTTTTTCATGTTTAATTTTCTGCTTTATTTTTTTTCTTTTTAAAAACATTCTAAATAAATATATCATTTTTTTCATTATTTTGCAAGTCAAAGTGAGTCGCTTTCCCCTTATGTATTTTATATTATTGCATCTAATTTTGGGTAATGACAAAGCGGGACAATCCATATTCGTTCCGTTTTATCCCGATCTCAAATATTAAGAGATAAAGTGAGAATCAGTCCCAACTGTTCATAAAAACGGGACAAAACGTGGGAGGAACTAAACATAAACATGGTGAGGAAAACACATTGTCGCTGATACTTTGTTTCGGCTGCATGTTTTTTACCTAACGGTCTTTGTTCTAAGCTCTTTGGATTTGAGCTTGGTCATCAAAGCGTGCGTCCCACAAAAGGAGAAATATTTCGGTGAGTTGCACATAATGTGTGAAAAAGTGATTGTGAATAAGCTTAAGTTTTGAACATATAGGAAGTGAGTGAAACACACAGTAAGACTATTGAATTCATGCAAGGTGACCCAATTTGTGTACTGGATCACATATAATATTGCAACGTAGTGCTAGTGCTACACTAGAGTGTTTAATAAGTGCTACACATCAACTCATCAAGTCTACTCTCCAAGTCTACCATTGCTTCTCCTTTCCTGTTATTAATTAATTACAGCCGTTAATCTTGAGTCACTTGTATTTGAGGTCTCGCATTATTGTTTATGTAGCCTCAGTGCTAATAATTTACGAGGCGATTCCTGTGACATTACTTACCCGGTAGTGTTATGGAAATCTCTCCGAATAATTTCATAGATAGAATAGAGTTGGAATGGTGAAATCATGCATAATGTCTATGGCCGTATAAACAAAAAAAACAATTTGTACCCCATATAAATTAAATTGAGATGGGATTTTTTTCTAGGGAAGATCGGATATCCTTTATCAAGCCATTCGATTATTTTGAACAATATGGCGCACACTACTTGTACTTCCTTTTTATTTGATATAGAGTGCTTCGTTATGGTATCTAGTAGGGAGTACCACAAAAAATTGATTCCACTCATTTTTTACTCGTATTTGAGACGTGATTTAGAGTGATTTCTTTTATATTAATACTAAGTTTGTACTCGTGTGGTGTAGGGCAGAAAACTTTACGAAATTTTTTATTAATAAAATAATTAAAAAGTTAATAAGTAAAAATAAGTTATTTTGTCATTATTTTTCTTAGTTAAAACAACTAGGGCATTATTGGTGGTCTAAATTATTAGCATAAATCAGCTTCGTGTGAACACATTTTGTCAATGACAACTCCACACATTAATTAATTAGATATCTATGTAATTAATTTTAATACTCTTAAAATCAAACATTGTACAAATCAAAGAACTAAATACTATTCCCTCTATTCTCAAAAACACTTCTTCTTTCAAATTTTTTACTTCCAACAAAACACTTCTATTTTCTATTAAAAAATTATTTTTACTTTACTTTTTCATACCCTACCTATGACTATACTAGATATACATGAGTGAGTTTCTTGAGACACAAGGATGATGCTTTAGATGCGTTTAGCTCTTTGTGCAACAAGATTCAAAACGAGAATTGAAGCAACTAAAAATCAAGAAAGTTATTCGTGTAAGGAGCGATCATGGAGGTGAGTTTGATAGTCAACCATTGAGCAACTACTGTGATAGTTGTGGAATCTTACACGAATTCTCCACACCAAAAACCCCTCGAAAAAATGTAGTAGAAAGGAAAAATAGGGATGTACTGGAAATGGCAAGAACCATGCTTGTGAATAATATTGTAGAATAATACTCCCTCCGTTCTCAAAAACACTTCCTCTTTCATTTTTTCCACTTCCAACAAAAAACTTCCCTTTTCTATTAAAAAACCACTTTTACCCTTTTTCATACCCTACCTATCACATCATACTTTTTCTCTAATAATCTATCCATCACATCTTACTTTTACCCATCATATCAGGAGCAAAATTGGAAATCAACTACTCTGTATAATTTAAAACTTCCTTATTTTTGCCCCAAATCCAAATGGGAAGTATTTTTCCAAACGGATGGAGTACAAAATATTATTATATAGAATGTGTCTTGCGAAAAAACTTTCGGTAGCATTACAGTAGTATTATTGTAGAAATAAAATTAGAACTGAACTTGATGAATACATATTAGAATATACCATGTTGAAATATTAGAATAATAATATTGCTCCTTGGATTTTGAAGTAATGATAAAGTATATATAGAAGAGACTCCTAACACAACTAGGAATAAAGAATAGAAACTAACTAAAATACAACTTCTACCATAACTAGGAATACTTAATATTATTGTCTAACATCCCCCCTCAAGCTGAACTCTGGCTGAAGCAAAAGGAAGCTTGGACACTAGCCGGAAACTAGAAACTTTGAGAAGAGAGAAGTTTGACGTGCGCCGGTGGCTGCTGACGTCGTTGGAGAAGAGAGAAGTCTGACGTGCGCCGGTGGCTGCTGACGTCGTTGGAGAAGAGAGAAGTCTGACGTGCGCCGGTGGCTGCTGACGTTGTTGGAGAGGAGAGAAGTCTGACATGCACTGGTTGCTGCAGACATCGTTGAAGAAGAGAGAAATTGACGTGCGCTGGTAGCTGCTGACGTTGAAGAAGAAGAGAGAAGGTTGACGTGCGCTTGTAGCTGCTGACGTCGAAGAAGAATAGAGAAGGCTACTGGAGGTGCCTGTTTGACTGAAGATCCTTGACATTTTTTGTCTTTTTCTTGGATCTGGGCAATGCCCTATTTCCTTCTTGAAGGGGTGAGTTGTAGAGGTCTTGTTTCCTCTTTCACTACTTCCCCTCTTGGCTTTGCTTTTGTGCTGATTTACTTTGGATTTTTATTGGTTCAACAGAAGAGAAAAGAAAATAGAGGTGAATAGAGTGGAGTCGCCGTCGCCGGAATTACCGGCGGCGGCGACGAAAGTGAAAAACTCTTTTAGGTCACCAAGATCGGTGGCTCCGATACCATGTAGAAATAAAATTAGAACTGAACTTGATGAATACATTGATCACAAATGCCTTATTTATACAAAAATAACTCTAACCTAATCACAAACCCACTAACAGGCCCAATAATATCAAACCCTAATTACATCCGCTAACAATTATTGATTTTGAATGTTTTTTCAAATATTAAAATGATTGAATGCTAAATTATTGATTATTACTCCTTATCTTAAAAAATTGGATTGGAAAGAATTAATGCTTTTGAAAAATCAATTTGAAAGCATAATTTGAATTTACATTCAAATACTAAATTTTTTATTTTAATTTATTTAAGGTATGAGCTATGAATAGTAATAAATGTAATCACAACTAAAGAAACGGGCCGGGACCCCATGACTCCCAATTGCTGGATCCCCCTCTGGTTTGCACCCCTACGTTTATCTTCTTCTTCGATTGTTCAGATTTTATACGTGTCGTTCTCGCAATCTCCTCTCCTAACGGATCAGCTTGCATCTAATGTTCAATGTTACTTCTCTGGATCATATTCTCGGTACTTGATTCCGCCTTAGATAGCAAAATCACATAAGATGTTGGCATGAATCCCAGGAGTATAGTGATGTAGCTTTCCCACACTCAAGACATCCCCTTCGAACCAGTCTAGCAGCTACTTTCGAGAAATAACCCTAAACTCCAAGGTCTCCCACCATCGTGCTTCACCTCGATCTCCAGATTCAACCATGGGTTTTTAAAAAAAATTTTTAGGCCAAATACCTCCGGTGCCCCCTGTGGTTTGGAAAATTGGCATCAATACCCTCTCTAGTTTCAAAAATTACTTCTAAAATCTCCGTGGTTTCTAAATGTTGTACCCGTGCCCCCTCTGATCATTTTCCGGCCATTTTCCGGCGAAGAGGGAGCATTTGCGCACAATTTTTAAAACATAGGGGGCATTCGTGCTCATTTTTTATTTTTCGTTTATTATTTGTGTTTTTCTTTTTAAAAATATTTTCTATTTCTTTTTTCTTTTCCTAGATATTTTTCTAATTTATTTTCAATTTTTTATAATGTTTTAAAATTTTAAAATTTTTTGTGTTTGAAATAAAAATAAAAAAATTAATGTACATTGCATCTATTTGAAATTAAACATTTTCACTTTTTGTTACGTACTTATTTAGAAAGTTCAAAAAGAAAAACCTAGAATAAAAAAATAAAAATAAGGAAAAATAAAATGAAAAATAAAAATAAACGAAAAAAGTCAGATACAAAAAAACGGACAAGCCTAAAAAAATCCTTAAAATTGAGATCGAAAAAGATATTCATTTTTATTTTTCTATTATTTTGTTTCTTATTTTATTCGTCATTTTTTTGAAATTCTCAAAAAAAAGTTTACTTTTTTCAGAAAAAAAAAATTGTTGATTTGAGAAGTACATATACATTATATGTTATCTTTTCAAACAAAAATAACTTTAAATTTTATGAACATTATAAAAATAATTTAAAAAAAACCTTTATTAATAAAAGAAACAAACAAAGGAAAAAATGGAAAAAAAAAGCGAAAAATAAATATCAGCACTGATACCCCCTGTGGTTTAGTAAATATGTAGCAATGCCCCCTTCTTCGCCGGAAAAATGGCCGGAAAATGATCAGAGGGGGCACGGGTGCATTATTTGAAACCTTAAGGACTTTAGAAATAACTTTTGGTGCCTATTTTACAAACCACAAGGGGTACTGGCGCTATTTGGCCAAATTTTTTATTATGGATTTCTATTTACACTACACACCTAAAACCATTACAATCCATCGTTTATAAAAATCTTATAAAATCTAAAGAATTTTCAATACTATCAAATTTAGGACATTTTAAAATCTCAATAGAATACTCTGAGATTTTCAATGGTTTTTAAAAATTCTAATCAAATATCCATAGACTCTGAGAACACAAAAAGAATCCTACATAATCTCTATTGAATATATCCCCCTAAATCACAATTAGCAAACACTAGCATATCACCCAAACCCGTGCTTCGGGAAAGAACTAATTTTTTTTTATAATCAAGCATCGCTTCCCAATTCTTTAACAGGGTTCAACGGGTTGTAGTCCCTTAGACTCTCAAAACTGCATTGGAGATTCCCTTAAGCCGCCCTATCATCTTCTCATTTTTATTTATTGAGCTAAATATGTTTTTAGTCATTGTAAGACATGGGACTTGTTTTGGCCCGTGTAAATTCTTTTAAATCATTCTTTTTTTTTAATTCTCAAAATGGTTATTAAACGTAAATACGGAGTAACATTTACAATTTGTTGGGATACTATATTTATTTTGTGCATAACATCATAATCTTGTATTTATAATTAGCTCAAACATTCAACAAATTACATCCCAATTCTGAAATTTTATTTTGTGAGATTCTCAATAATTTAGGAAGGGGAGACACAATACGAATAATGTTACAATTTAGAACATGAGAACTATGTGGAAGGTAATTATAAATGAAAAAAAAAAGATATTGAGCATGAAATAAATTCTTGACTCATCAAATTACAGGACTATAATTTAATTAAGTATTTTCAAATTAATTAATTTTGTAATTAAAAAATTAAAGCAAAAAACTTAGAAGAACCATAAACAATTTTTCTGATATTAAAAAAAAGAATAACAAAGTAAAGATTATATTTTCATACTCTCTGTCCGTGACAACCTTTCTTCTTTTTAGTTTCATGTCTCAACTGTAGTCAAGGGTACTTGCGGTTATGCCGCTCTTGAGTACATCATGAGTAGTGCCCCTTATACTTGTCCAAATTAATCCCCAGATGAGCCCCAAAACTTGTTTTTTGGCCCCCATCAAACTGGTTCCATTGACCTCATTCACACATCAATCTCTCTCTATGGTTTTTTGTAATATCTTAAAAGATGTTCCACTTCTAACTCATTCAGGGCATTTAACCACGAGATGTGATGTTCATGGCTTTGGGGTTGTGTTACTTGAGATGCTAACTAGAAGGAGAGCATTGGACACAAGAAGGCCTACCGGAGAGCTAAGCCTCGTGGAGTTTGCCCGACCTCGCTTAACTCGCATCAATAGGCTCTTCGAGATATTAGAGTATTAGACCCGAGAATGGAATGTCAATACTCCAAGAAGACAGCAGCACTGGTAGCACACTTGGCCTGCCGATGCGTCGACCAAAACCCAAAGGCAAGACCTACTGTGATTGAAAGGAATTGGTAGACCACTTCACTCACAGTAGGTCTTGCCTTTGGGTTTTGGTCGACACATTGGCAGGCCAAGTGTGCTACCAGTGCTGCTGTCTTCTTGGAGTATTGGCCTTCCATTCTCGGGTCTAATATCTCGAAGAACCTATTGATGCGAGTTAAGCGAGGTCGAGCAAACTCCATGAGGCTTAGCTCTCCGGTAGGCCTTCTTGTGTCCAATGCTCTCCTTCTAGTTAGCATCTCAAGTAACACAACCCCAAAGCCATGAGCATCACATCTCGTGGTTAAATGCCCTAAATGAGTTAGAAGTGGAACATCTTTTAAGATATGACAAAAAAACATAGAGAGAGATTAATGTGTGAATGAGTTCAATGGGACCAGTTTGATGGGGGCCAAAAAACAAGTTTTGGGGTTCATCTGGGGATCAATTTGGACAAGTATAAGGGTCACTACTCATGATGTACTCAAGAGCGGCATAACCGTAAGCACCTATGACTACAGTTGAGACATGAGTTTGATCTCCAACAGGGCCATCTTTGGCAAGCCCAAGTCAGAAAGCTTGACATTCAAATCCTGAGGTATCAAATTTATCTAAACTACTATTAATACAGCTCAACTACTCTTAAGGGCCCATCTACATAGATGACTAATTGATAGAATGATTACGTACTAACCGCATCCAATAGAATGTTTGCGGCTTTGAAGTCCCCCTCCCAACATCCAATGCAATCTTCATTCTTTTCAATAATGTCACGATAGGGCACACTTCTGCACGCAGGATATACACACATGAATGATAACAGTAGATTACTTTAAAAAAACACTTAAGACTAATACAATGCACAAAGGAAGAAAAAATCTATAAAGCATCATTTAATAATCCGTTTGTGTATGATATTGTGTATGCAATAACATAACAAAAAGTCATGTGTAGAATTGATTTTTTTAGTAAGGTCTGCAATAGCATAGAGTTTTCTAGAGGTATGTCTGGATTCTAGAAAATACCTGTGAAAGGAAAAGGAATGCTAAAAAATTATACTCCATATAAATGTCAATATGTTTAGATTTCTTAGTCTTTATAAATATGACATAAAAACACAGTGATTATCGACAAATATTTAATATTGATTTATTGAATATTAGCCTATTTCTTCCCCTCATATTTTGTTTCCATGTTTTCTTCCATGTAGCTGACCCCACCTAGTGGGATAAGGCATTGTTGTTGATGTCGTTTTCTTCCTAACTTCCTTTTGTAGAATTATTAGCGTTCCAAATGGACCCCAAAAGATAGATATAAAGATAGATACTGCAAGTAACTGGCAAATCAGTGAAGTACTAACCAGAAAACAGGTGTTCCTCAAGGCTGCCGGAGGCCATGTACTCATAAACTAATAGCCTATGGTCATCCTCACAACAGTATCCAATTAGCTTCACGAGGTTAGGGTGTCGGAGCTGCGCCAAGTAGTTGACCTCTGCCTGCATTGTGAAACTGTTAAGTGTGTATAGGATTTATCTGCAAAGTATAAATGATGTTCAGAGTCCACAAAGCTCCTTAATTAAAAGATGACCTTTTCTAAAAACAAGAGTGTTCTCGACTAAACAACCTACTTACTTACTTAGAGTACTAACAAATGGTTTGGTCCTAAGAGCAAGAGCATTTTGATTTTAGATAAGATCAGTATATTTTTTTCCCATATCAATCACCACTAGGCAAAAAAAAAATTGAAAAAACATTTGTTAAACTCGAGGGTAAGATCATAGACTAATAGCTATTATGCAGAGTATAGTTTATGAAATGTAATTCTGTGTAAAGAATCAAGTACAAAATAAATACTTTGTAGTGATGTAGTCGTCTGCTTGACCTAGGCATTTTTTAAATTAAATCCAAAAGCTGATTAAGATATTATACAAGCACTTGTCATGTAGTTCTTTGCAATATCTTCTAAAATCACAAATATATAGCAAGATATGATTTATTAGCTCTCCGAAATCCTCCCCTCTAAAAACCTCCATTCTGATAGGGTTAGAACAATAATAGAAAAAGCTGAATTGGAGAAGAGGAAATCGGTTAAACTGCTGAAACGAATTAGATCAGCTATATGCATTGATATATAAGTCCAGGCAGTGACATCATAAGACCAATGCTTAAACAAAATAACAAATTGACCCTTCACCAATTGTTAACTATATGTAATAATACACTGTAATAATAACACTGTAACAATACTCTCCCCTTAACCCACCTTTTGCCCTCAAGAAGTGAGCTCAATGAACTTTGGAAATTGCAGCAACATCTCGTCTGAATACTCCCATGTAGCCTCCTCACCTGTCTGATTCTCCCAGTGGACCAAAACCTTCATCACGGCCCGACTCCCCCTTTTAAGCAGTTTATTGCAAATTTGTTTCTCACCGGAGTCTGCTGATCAGAAATCAATCAGCTAGATATGTCCAGGCAATAACATCATAAGCCCAATACTTCAACAAAATAACAAATTGACCCTTCAACAATTATGGATAATATCTAATAAAACTCTGTAAACACATTCAAACCAAGGGAAATGATCATAGACTATATTTTCGAAGTTGGTAAGTTTAGTGAAGTTGCAAGGAATTACCAGCCATTCACCGTCGCCCTGTTGGCTTTCAAGATCACGCTCTTTGATTGCAACTCTACCATTTTCACCTATGAATCCTTCATAAAAGATGCCAAAACCACCTCTGCCGAGAACAGATTGAAAGGAATTGGTTGCCACTATCATTTCTTCGTACGTATATACAACAAGATCCCATTCCCCTGGACTTCTCAAATCATTGACAGTTTTGGCTTTCGCTATAGATGTGGCCTCCGCACGACAAACTGCATTATGCATTTGTTTATATTCAGAAAAATACTAATGACAAGAATTCTGCGTTGAAAACCATTAATGTTCAACATGACCTAAAAACAACCTCTGTCAATGTATCTATCTAAGGCTTGATAGCATTCCTTTAAAATAAGAATGGCGATACAACACAGTACTATTGGTAATTTGAGGTTGCTTTTGGCCCAGAAATCAGCTAGGCCTATCAAGTCCGGCCAACTCAATAATTTAAGTAAAAAAATTAAACAAAAAGAATTGAAGTAAAAAAATTAAATTTTTTACACTACCAGTCTGCATTATAAGTCAAAAATCAAGATTCAACACAGTTTAAAGATGGAGCAATTAATTTCTATATAACCTGATGATTCTGGATTTTGCAGTTTTCTAGCGCTGAAACAGGATCCCATGGTGATGAGAGCTCACAAAGGTATAGTAGGTGATGGAAGAAGATTCACGTTTCAGCTCTCTGCCTCTCGTTTCCCTTGGGACTGATTTACACACAGGGAAAAGCCAAAAATAATCCAAGAACGCGCTACTGTACCCCAGTCCACATTGTGGCGCTTCAACAGATGGATTTCCAAATCCAGCCACAAAGTGTGCAGAATAAGAAAAACGCGAGATTTCCTTCGGCTACACGAAGTGCTCTAAATGAGAAAGAGTCTGTTTTTATGGCATATTTGGAAATGGGGAACGTGGAGTGAGTTATCCTTTCAAGCCCTTCTTTATTTGAAGAAAACCATTTTAAAATGACCTGAGTAAAAAAACAATCAACAAAAAATAATGAAATATCTCAAATGTAAATGTCAAAAGAATTTAATAACTTGTGAAGCCTTTTTCCAGTCTCTCTTTGATATATTTCAAAAGTCTGAGCACACACCTTGTCACCTTTTATGTAGAGTTTACGAATGGGGAACAGATTGCATCAAAATAAAGGGTAGCTACACCCTCCTACATTATGGAAAATTTAAACAATTTACACAAAATTGAACCTAATTCATCTAGCACAGTTCAAAAATTCAATAGAGAAAGAGTAAAAGAAATATTTTACCTTAGGATAAGATTAGGTTTAAAGGGGGCAGTTACAAAACTCAGCGTTCCAGTGAATCTGGGAAAAAATATGAATTAATAATCACCAATTGTTTGAGAACCCAAATTTAATAAAAATTAATTCAGAATGAATTTCAAAAGAAGAGATTGTATACCACTTGAAGTAGTCTAAATAGGTTCAAAAAGATTTCATAGCAAAATAATCATCTTTTCTACCTTACTAACACTATGTTTGGTTCAAGGAATTTGTAAGGGAAAATATAAGAAATTGAGATGGAAAACTATTTTTTCAGTTTGGTTAATGAGAAAAAGAAAGCAAAAGTGAGAGGAAAAGATAATGAGAGCAAAATGTACTAAGAAAAAGGAAAACCAAATTCCTCGCATTTTGGTGAGGAAAATGAGAGAAAATCATTTTCTTTTCTTTTCCTTCCAAATTGCTTAAACCAAACATAGTGTAAAAAGATGTATGTATTGCAGGGAGTTGTAGTAGGCATTGATGTATTTCATTCCTCTTACTTATTTCACTTGGCAGTTAGAGGCTTGACCCTTACCTTTCTTCTTGAGAGAACTGAAATCAACCTTAAATCAACAATTATATGAAAGATATATTGCCCACAATTATATGAAAGATATATTGCCCTCAAATTTGAAAAATAGCAATAAAAGGCATAAATATTGTGTATGTACATTTAACATAAATAAAACTTTAATACCTCATTACCTCTCACAACCTGAGTTATTGTTCCTGTCGTTTGATGTCTGGATCCGTTAAGAAGCAATCACCAATATGGATCCCATCAAGAGCCTCCAAAATGCCCCCTCCAAGAATCCATCTATAGCCATTCATTTTCTATGTCTCCCTTATGATGTATTTTAAGCATCTATCTGTGAAGCCTACGATGTGTGTGATATAGTCGGTGAAATAGTTGGAGGCTGGGGACTAAATGATGTGCGTGAAGAACTACAAATCCAAGCCATATTCGGCTAGCTATTTAGACAGGAAGGGTTTTCCAGACATTGTTGTAAATATGTGTAATTTAACTAATTCATTAGTTAACCAACCTGGTGCCACATTTTAGAATCATAATTGAAGTCTTTTACTAATTTATTAAAGTGCCACCACAAAGGGATGATAACTTCTTAGGCTAGCTTTGTACCTGACCTTGAACTGCATTGACCCATCTTTGAATGATGCATCTAAGGGCTTCACATTTGAGGTAATAAACACTTTATGATCCTGCAGGGAGTGATAAAAGCTTTAAAGAAAACATTACACTTGACTATATTATATAATGGTCTATTGGTCTAAAGTCTAAACCCAACTTTAAGACTTGTGTGTTGTAATGTTATCATACTTTAGGTTATCAAATCATTTACACAGAACATATTCAAAAATCACAAAGCAGTAAAATGAAATGTGATAAATGACTTCTAATTCATTGGTTGTTTGAGAAGTCCAAATCTAAAAATGAATTAAAAAGAAGAAAGTACCACTTTAAAATGGTGGTGGTGTTGTTGAAGTGTGATGTTGTTGACCTATGGCAAGAATCCAAAGTGAGAGAATTATCCCTAAATCAAAGAAAAGAGGAAAAGAATGCAAGATCATGCCATACACATTCAGAAACTTCAAAAGAAAAAAGAAAATGGTGTTACCCGGCCCTGTGATGTGTCTTACCTGTAGTTATTATCTGAAATTAATGGTCGAAACCCTAGCCTGGTGCTGCCGTCCGTCCTCCCTACCTCGTGACCCCTTGATCACTGTCATCTCCTTTCTGGCGCTAGGGATCTGCCCTAGGGTTAGCAATTTGCGAATTAAATACAGAGTATGAATTTCATAAGAACATATACTCTTTTTAAGAGTACTACCTGAATATTACTCTAGAATATCCAATATCAACTTTGTAGATATGTTTTTAGGACTAAAAGATATGAAGGCATGAAACAACTTGCATTCAGGATTCACAAAATTTATAAAAGAAAAATATAAGCTTAAAGTTAAAGTGTTAAACAAATACTCGAAATTAGCATGTACCATAGCCGCGAGGAAGATGATGAATAGTTGATTCAACTGCTAACACAACCTATGCCAAGAAAGATTCAACCCTAGTCTCTCTCTCTCTCTCTGATGTTTAGACTTCTCTTCGTCTCCGAGTGAAGCGTGGGTGAAATTGATGTACCAGTGGCAAATTTTAACCTGGAAAATGTTGGCAGAGAGATCCATTGGCTTGCACCAACGAACCAGCGGCCTTCTAGCCTTCAATCGCAACGGAAAAACGAGCGACCAGAACTGAGGGGGAAGGTGCTATGGAAGAGGCTGAAGTCTGAAGACGCTGAGATGCGATGGTCTGAGAAAGTGTGCGGTTGAGAAATACTCCGTATAGATGGATAGAAGAGAGATCAGTGGTAAGTGGGCGGTTGATAGGGCAGGTTGCCTGCTGACCTTCGGGCAATAGCTTGGGCGGAATTTTGCTATTGTAAAAAAAAAGTATAGCTATACTACATCTTCTAACCTCAGACAACCATACACTAAAAATAAAAGAACACTTTAGAAACATGTAAACTTCTAGAAAAGTAATGCCAATGTCATCCAAACATCATCTTCTGTAGAAGGTTAAGTTATCCATATTAGCATCATACGAAAAAGTTATAGAGGATTCTATCTGGAATTAGCTTTAATGTCTAAGACTCCAAAATTTGCAGAAGAACTTGTACCAAGGAAAAAAAAAGAGATAACGAATGAAGAAGCTATACAAATTTTACCCTGCAGGGCATATATAAAGCATCACATTCAAAGCCCAACAAAAAAGTCCAGTTGCTAATTTATATTAGGTTAACGTTATAAAAAATGTAGATACTTATATATTCACGGGATAACAATGTCTCTTGAAAAGTAATATTCAAATAGTGGAAAAGGTTATAGGTGTAAAGGAGTAAAGCATATTTAGTGTTTTGAATATTTCCAGATGTTGTTTTGGATCACTTAGCTTCCAGCTGTTTATAAAAAACCTCCAATTGTTGTTTTGGATAAGTGACAGGTCAAAAAGAGTGGATGCTCATATATTCACAGGATAACATTCTACTGAAATCTATCAATTTCTAAATTCACAATATTAAACGCCATGGGTGGTCTGAAATCCAAGATTTGTAAGTAAAAAAATCAAAATTGGAAAGTCAACCAAAATTACATTTTTCTTATTTTTTCCCAAAGTCAAAACTGGAAGGATTTTGTGGAACGGATGGAGTATTATTTTGGTATAGTATATGTTCATTAAACTCCAAATTGTTAGCACTGGCTACGGTAGTGGTGTGGAGCAGATCTTTGTATGCTGTGAGTTCGATTCTCACGCCCTTTTGGTTACTCTATTTTTTGGCATTCCATACTTCTCCATACTCTTTTTGCATTTCCTTCATAAAAATATCAATTGCATTTTATATTTTCTTAGTTGCCTCATTTTAGTCTTACCACAAATAACATGTTGTAGGATTAAATTAGTACACCATACTTTTTATATAAAAGTAAAACACACAATTTTCTTTACAAAATTCAAGCGTAAATAGTATTGATATTTACTTTTTATAAATTAAAGTTCACATCAAATTAGCACCTTATGCTTATATCAATTGAATTTTATTTTTTTAATGAGATGTCTCAAGATTAAATTATTCGTTCTAATTGCACTCTTTTTTTCATAAAATTTAATCATATATAATATGGAGTATTTATTTTCCTTAAATATTTAAAATATAAAGGAATGAAGTTTATTTTAATGACAAAGAAAATACATACCATTCACTCTGTTTGAACTCTAATTATAAACTGAACATAAATTTTATTGTAGAATAATACAAAATATTATTATATAGAATGTGTCTTGCGAAAAAAACTTTTGGTAGCATTACAGTAATATTATTGATTTTGAATGTTTTTTTTCAAATATTAAAATGATTGAATGCTAAATTATTGAATATTACTCCTTATCTTAAAAAATTGGATTGGAAAGAATTAATGCTTTTGAAAAATCAATTTGAAAGCATAATTTGAATTTACATTCAAATACTAAATTTTTTATTTTAATTTATTTAAGGTATGAGCTATGAATATTAATAAATGTAATCACAACTAAAGAAACAGGGCCCCATGACTCCCAATTGCTGGATCCACCTCTGGTTTGCACCCCTACGTTTATCTTCTTCTTCTATTGTTCAGATTTTATACGTGTCGTTCTCGCAATCTCTTCTCCTAACGGATCAGCTTGCATCTAATGTTCAATGTTACTTCTCTGGATCATATTCTCGGTACTTGATTCCGCCTTAGATAGCAAAATCACATAAGATGTTGGCATGAATTCCAGGAGTATAGTGATTAGCAGCTAGTTTCAAGAAATAACCCTAAACACCAAGGTCTCCCACCATCGTGCTTCACCTCTCCAGATTCAACTATAGACTCAAAATCTTTAGGAATTTTAGAAAAATTTTTATTATAAATTTCTATGTATACTACACACCTGAAACCATTACAATCCATTATTTATAAAAATCTTATAAAATCTAAAGAATTTTCAATACCATCAAATTTAGAAGGATGTTTTAAAATCTCAATAGAATACTCAGAGATTTTCAATGATTTTTAAAATTCCTAATCGGATATCCATAGACTCTGAGAACACAAAAAGAATCCTACAGAATCTGTATTGAATATATCCCCCTAAATCACAATTAACAAACACTAGCATATCACCCGTGCTTCAGGAAAAAAAACTAATTTTTTATAATCAAGCATCGCGTCCCAATTCTTTAACAGCGTTCAACGAGTCATATTCCCTTAGACTCTCTCAAAACTGCATTGAGTTAAATATGTTTTTAGTCATTGTAAGACATGGGACTTATTTTCCATCATCTCCGATGTAGCCAAAATTTCACCATTTTTTGGCTTTGGGGTGTGATGGAATAAATCAAAATGGATCTCTAAATTGTCTGCGCTTCTTTAATTAATGAAGTAGCAGTTAGTCAAACAATGCAACTTTCGACGTTGAGCCGGGGGTCTCTTTGGAAACAGCCTCTCTACTTTAGAGTAAGGGTAAGATCTGCGTACACACACCCTCCCTAGACCCTACTCTTGTGGGATTTAACTGGGTTGTTGTTGTTGTAAGACATGGGACTTGTTTTGGCCACTGTAAATTCTTTTAAATCATTCTTTTTTTTAATTCTCAAAATGGTTATTAACCGTAAATAACATTTATAATTTGTTGGGATACTATATTTATTTTGTGCATAACATCATAATCTTTTATTTATAATTAGCTCAAACACGATTCTTATATCCTAAAGTATGTCATTCAACGAATTACATCCCAACTCTGAAATTTTATTTTGTGAGATTCTCAATAGATTTAGGAAGGGGAGACATAAAACAAATAATGTTACAATTTAGAACATGAGAACTGTGTCGAAGGTAATTATAAATGAAAAAACAAAGATATTGAGCATGAAATAAATTCTTGACTCATTAAATTACAGGACTATACTTACTTAAGAACTATTTTCAAATTAATTAATTTTGTAATTAAAAAATTAAACCAAAAAACTTAGAAGAACCATAAACAAAATGGCGATTTAAATTCCTTTGAAAAGAATTTTTCTAAAAAATATTATATCTCCAATCAAACTGATATTAAAAAAAGAATAACAAAGTACAAATTATATTTTCATACTCTCCGTCCGTAACAACCTTTCTTCTTTCTTGTTTGATACCTCAGGATTTGAATGCTAGGCTTTCTGACTTCGGGCTTGCCAAAGATGGCCCTGTTGGAGATCAAACTCATGTCTCAACTGTAGTCAAAGGTACTTACGGTTATTCCGCTCCTGAGTACATCATGAGTAGTGCCCCTTATACTTGTCCAAATTAATCCCCAGATGAGCCCCAAAACTGTTTTTTTGGCCCCGATCTGGTCTCATTGACCTCATTCACACATCAATCTCTTTCTCTATGGTTTTTTGTCATATCTTAAAAGATGTTCCACTTCTAACTCATTCAGGGCATTTAACCACGAGATGTGATGTTCATGGCTTTGGGGTTGTGTTACTTGAGATGCTAACTAGAAGGAGAGCATTGGACACAAGAAGGCCTACTGGAGAGCTAAGTCTCGTGGAGTTTGTCCGACCTTGCTTAACTCGCATCAATAAGCTCTTCGAGATATTAGACCCGAGAATGGAAGGCCAATACTCCAAGAAGACAGCAGCACTAGTAGCACACTTGGTTGCGTCGACCAAAACCCAAAGGCAAGACTTGCTGTGAGTGAAGTGGTACAAATTCTTGAAGCCATTACTCAAGCATAACAAATCCGTGATAAAATATTGAAGTGTAGATGTCGCACTTGCCCAAGACCGACCGTGTGCAGATAACAACACAACTCAAATCTAATTGTAAAGAAAGTTTTATTCGCAGCATTAAAGCCTTACATCATCCCTCTTTATAAATAGGGTAAGTTTAACAGACGTACATATATAAGCAACTTTTGGACTAGTAACTTCTACTAATTAGAAGATTATGCCTCATACTATGCCTACAGGTTATTTTCTAAATTCATTTTCTAAATTCATATTTATCTTCTAGGATTTTCTATATTTATGACTGCTAAAAAATGACTAGTATCGTATTTCAACAACTGGTCGCCTAAGTGTGACACTAACTAAGCTCATGTGCAAAACTATTTTGCTAAAGCCAACAACACAAAAAATTGGTCGCTTAAGTGTGACACTGACTAAACAAATGCATAATGCAGTTTGTCGTGCGGAGGCCACATCTATAGCGAAAGCCAAAACTGTCAATGATTTGAAAAGTCCAGGGGAATGGGATCTTGTTATATATACGTACGAAGAAATGAAAGTGTCAACCAATTCCTTTCAATCTGTTCCCAACAGAGGTGGTTTTGGCATCGTTTATGAAGGATTCATAGGTGAAAATGTTAAAGTTGCAATAGGATAAATTCGTTAAACTGCTGAAACGAATTAGATTAGCTAGATGCGTTGATATATAAGTCCAGGAAGTGACATCATAAGCCAAATGCTTAAATAAAATAACAAAATGACACTTCACCAATTGTTAACTATATGTAATAATACTCTATAATAATAACACCTGTAACAATACTCTCCCCTTAACCCACTTTTTGCCCTCAAGAAGTGAGCTCGATGAATTTTGGAAATTGCAGCAACATCTCGTCCGAATACTCCCATGTAGCCTCCTCACCTATCTGATTTAACCTATTGCAACTCTAACATTTTCACCTATGAATCCTTCATAAACGATGCCAAAACCACCTCTGCAAAGAACAAATTGAAAGGAATTGGTTGCCACTTTCTTTTCTTCGTACGTATATATAACAAAATCCCATTCCCCTGGACTTCTCAAATCATTGACAGTTTTGGCTTTCGCTATAGATGTGGCCTCTGCATGACAAACTGCATTATGCATGTGTTTAGTCAGTGTCGCACTCAAGCGACCAATTGTTGGTGTTGTTGGCTTTAGCAAAATAATCTTGCCAAGTGTCACACTTCGGAAGGCCAAGCGTGCTACCAGTGCTGCTGTCTTCTTGGAATATTGGCCTTCCATTCTCGGGTCTAATATCTCGAAGAGCCTATTGATGCGAGTTAAGCAAGGTCGGGCAAACTCCACGAGACTTAGCTCTCTAGTACGCCTTCTTGTGTCCAATGCTTTCCTACTAGTTAGCATCTAAAGTAACACAACCCCAAAGCCATGAACATCACATCTCGTGGCTAAATGCCCGGAATGAGTTAGAAGTGGAACATCTTTTAAGATATGACAAAAAACCATAGAGAGAGATTGATGTGTGAATTAGTTCAATGGGACCAGTTTGATGGGGGCCAAAAAACAAGTTTTGGGGCTCATCTGGAGATTAATTTGGACAAGTATAACGGGCACTACTCATGATGTACTCAGGAGCGGAATAACTGTAAGTACCCTTGACTACAGTTGAGACATGAGTTTGATCTCCAACAGGGCCACCTTTGGCAAGCCCGAAATCAGAAAGCCTAGCATTCAAATCCTGAGGTATCAAATTTATCTAAACTACTATTAGTACAGCTCAACAACTACTCTGAAGGGCCCATCTGTATAGAACATAGCATACTTTATTGCTAGTCATGCTTCATGTTTGCTCTCCTCAACTTACGAATCCATGCATAGATGACTAATTGAAAGAATGATTACGTACTAACTGCATCCAATAGAATGTTTGCGGCTTTGAAGTCCCTATATATTACTGCCTGTCTGCACGATGAAGGAAAGCAAGCCCCCTCCCAACATCCAATGCAATCTTCATTCTTTTCAATAATGTCACAATAGGGCACACTTCTGCACGCAGGATATACACACATGAATGATAACAGTAGATTACTTTAAAAAAACACTTAAGACTAATACAATGCACAAAGGAAGAAAAAAAATCTATAAAGCATCATTTAATAATCCGTTCGTGTATGATATTGTGTATGCAATAACATAACAAAAAGTCGTGTGTAGAATTCATTTTTTTAGTAAGGTCTGCAATAGGATAGAGTTTTCTAGAGGTATGTCTGGATTCTAGAAAATACCTGAGAAAGGAAAAGGAATGCTAAAAATTTATACTCCATATAAATGTCAATATGTTTAGATTTCTTAGTCTTTATAAATATGACATAAAAACACAGTGATTATCGACAAATATTTAATATTGATTTATTGAATATTAGCCTATTTCTTCCCCTCATATTTTGTTTCCATGTTTTCTTCCATGTCGCTGACCCCACCTAGTGGGATAAGGCCTTGTTGTTGATGTCGTTTTCTTCCTAACTTCCTTTTGTAGAATTATTAGCGTTCCAAATGGACCCCAAAAGATAGATACTGCAAGTAACTGGCAAATCAGTGAAGTACTAACCAGAAAACAGGTGTTCCTCAAGGCTGCCGGAGGCCATGTACTGAAACTGTTAAGTGTGTATAGGATTTATCTGCAAAGTATAAATGATGTTCAAAGTCCACAAAGCTCCTTAATTAAAAGATGACCTTTTCTAAAAACAAGAGTATTCTCGACTAAACAACCTACTTACTTACTTAGAGTACTACAAATGGTTTGGTCCTAAGAGCAAGAGCATTTTGATTTTAAATAAGATCAGTATATTTTTTTCCCATATCAATCACCACTAGGCAAAAAAAAATAATTGAAAAAACATTTGTTAAACTCGGAGGGTAAGATCATAGACTAATAGCTATTATGCAGAGTATAGTTTATGAAATGTAATTCTGTGTAAAGAATCAAGTACAAAATAAATACTTTGTAGTGATGTAGTCGTCTGCTTGACCTAGGCATTTTTTAAATTAAATAAAAATGCTGATTAAGATATTATACAAGCACTTGTCATGTAGTTCTTTGCAATATCTTCTAAAATCACAAATACATAGCAAGATATGACTTATTAGCTCTCCGAAATCCTCCCCTCTAAAAACCTCCATTCTGATAGGGTTAGAACAATAATAGAAAAAGCTGAATTGGAGAAGAGGAAATCGGTTAAACTGCTGAAACGAATTAGATCAGCTATATGCATTGATATATAAGTCCAGGCAGTGACATCATAAGACCAATGCTTAAACAAAATAACAAATTGACCCTTCACCAATTGTTAACTATATGTAATAATACACTGTAATAATAACACTGTAACAATACTCTCCCCTTAACCCACCTTTTGCCCTCAAGAAGTGAGCTCAATGAACTTTGGAAATTGCAGCAACATCTCATCTGAATACTCCCATGTAGCCTCCTCACCTGTCTGATTCTCCCAGTGGACCAAAACCTTCATCAAGGCCCGACTCCCTCTTTTAAGCAGTTTATTGCAAATTTGTTTCTCACCAGAGGTCTGCTGATCGGAAATCAATCAGCTAGATATGTCCAGGCAATTACATCATAAGCCCAATACTTCAACAAAATAACTAATTGACCCTTCAACAATTATGGATAATATCTAATAAAGCTCTTTAAACACATTCAAACCAAGGGAAATGATCATAGACTATATTTTCAAAGTTGGTAAGTTTAGTGAAGTTGCAAGGAATTACCAGCCATTCACCATTGCCCTGTTTGCTTTCAAGATCACGCTCTTTGATTGCAACTCTAACATTTTCACCTATGAATCCTTCATAAAAGATGCCAAAACCACCTCTGCCGAGAACAGATTGAAAGGAATTGGTTGCCATTTTCATTTCTTCGTACGTATATATAACAAGATCCCATTCCCCTGGACTTCTCAAATCATTGACAGTTTTGGCTTTCGCTATAGAGTATAGATGTGGCCTCCGCACGACAAACTACATTATGCATTTGTTTATATTCAAAAAAATACTAATGACAAGAATTCTGCATTGAAAACCATTAATGTTCAACATGACCTAAAAACAACCTCTGTCAATGTATCTATCTAAGGCTTGATAGCATTCCTTAAAAATAAGAATGGCGATACAACACAGTACTACTGGTAGTTTGAGGTTGCTTTTGGCCCAGAAATCAGCTAGGTCTATCAAGTCCGGCCAACTCAATAATTTAAGTCAAAAAATTAATCAAAAAGAATTGAAGTAAAAAATTTAAATTTTTTACACTATCAGTCTGTATAAGTCAAAAATCAAGATTCAACACAGTTTAAAGATGGAGCAATTAATTTCTGTATAACCTGATGATTCTGGATTTTGCAGTTTTCCAGCGCTGAAACAGGATCCCATGGTGATGAGAGCTCACAAAGGTATAGTAGGTGATGGAAGAAGATTCACGTTTCAGCTCTCTGCCTCTCGTTTCCCTTGGGACTGATTTACACACAGGGAAAAACCAAAAATAATCCAAGAACGCGCTCTGCTGTACCCCAGTCCACATTGTGGCGCTTCAACAGATGGATTTCCAAATCCAGCTACAAAGTGTGCAGAATAAGGAACATTGTGGCGCTTCAACAGATGGATTTCCTCCGACTACACGAAGTGCTCTAAATGAGAAAGAGTCTGTTTTTATGGCATACTCCCTCCGTCCAAAATTAATGTTCCTTCTTCAACTCACTATTCCTCCTCCTTCAACTCAACACCACGTCCGTACACCTTACATCCTCCATCACATACACACCTCTGTACATCTTTGATCAGATCTTCGTCACCGTTGCTCCTCGCCAAGCAGCTCCATAAAATCTCCAACGACATCAGATCTTCGGTGGTCAGATCTTGGGGAAGAGAAAGAAGTTGAAAAATTTGAGGGAATATGATGCTTGTTATGTCAGTGACGGGCAGGAATTGAAGAAGGAGAAGCAGAATTGAAAAAGGGGGAAAACAATTGAAGAAGGGGAAGAAGAAATGAAGAAAAAGAAGAAGAAGAAAGTGGAGAAGATGCAGGGAGGAAGAAGGGGCTGGCCGGCTGGGTAAGGAAGTTGAAGAAATGAGATTGAAAAATAAAGATAAGGTTGTGATGAGTGGTTGTAAATCCGTAGGGGGAGGGGAAAGTTTTAGAGATTTCAAGGGTATCTAAGTCATTTTATACTTAAAATTTTGCCAAATAAAGAAATGAGAACATTATTTATGTACGGACTAAAAGGAAAATGAGAACTTTGAATTTGGAAGGAGGGAGTATTTGGAAATGGAGAACGTGGAGTGAGTTATCCTTTCAAGATCTATTACTCCCTCCGTCCGGGAAAAATCTTCCCATTTGGACTTTTTCTCATTTTTTTGAAGTGTTGACTTTGGAAGTGAAATGTCTAATATACCCTTCATTTCTTTTCTGTTTTACAATCCCAGCCCAGCCCTGCCCTCTGCCAGGGCTAGCACCTACCACCGCCATCAACCCCGGCTCCATCGTCACCGTCAGTTCCGCCAAAATTGACCCTGCCCCAACCACCACCGTTGCCGTCGCCTCTACCACAATTGACCCAGCCCCCACCACAATCGCCCTCAGCCCCGACGTAACCAATCATCATCAGTCGCACAATCCCTAGCCGCCAGCCCGCCACCATCTCCTCCAAGAGAAAGAGAAAAGGGGAAGAGAAAAAAGAAGGGAAGAAGATGAGAAGAAGATCTAGTACAGATCTATCGTAGATCTGGAAGAGAGTGAAGAGAAGAATTTTGGGAAGAGAAGAAGAAGAAAAAAGAAGAAGAAGAAGAAGAAAAATAAAATAAGAGAAGAATGGGGGGAGGGAAGGGAAGGAGACGAAGAAAAAAGTGGAGGAAGAAGAGAGGAGAACGGATGGACTAAGAAAAAGTGAAAGAGAGAAAGATAAGATTTAGGTGTGTGGTGAGGATTTATGGGAGGAGAGAGAAAGGGGAGAGGGGAAGATTGGGGTTAAAAATATATGGGATGAAGTAATTGAGAATTTAATGATAAGGGTATTTTTGGAAGGATTGGGGTTAAAAATTGAAATGGGAAGATTTTTTCCGAACGGGGAAAAAGAAGAAACGGGAAGATTTTTTCCGGACGGAGGGAGTATCTATTATGTACTCCCTCTCCCACCTAAGTTCTTCCCGCTACGCGTTACGAGACTTGACTGACTTTATTTTCAATTTAATTTAATTGATTATAAGAGTAAAATTTTAAAATAAAATTTATATAGCAATAAATTACATGAAATGTTCTACAAAACTAGAGGTGACAAAAGTATATTATTTTACGAAATGACTAGTAAAAATGAGCAAACTAAGTAAAATTTGACCATGTAAATAGTATCTGGAAAGATCTATGGTCGAATCACAATTGCAATCTGATTTTCCCACCACAAGCCAAAAATCCACAGTCCAATTTACAACAAAAAAAACGGATAAATCCAGACCACAAAAATCTGATCTACGGCCCAATTTTAATTTTTAGAAATTAGACAAATCTAGGCCCTAGAATTTTGATCGATCCCACATCGGAAAGTGTGAGGAAAATAATTGGTATATAAGCTCTTGAGTTGAACTAAGTAATCGATTGTATTCAATCTTTTAATGTGATTCAGCCCAATTGTCTTATAGCCCAATTCAGTTGTCCATATCTCATTCTAAATTCTATCATAGCTCCTAAAAAAAACTAGCCCAAAGCATGGCTCTCCCCAATGCAAATATAGGCTTTGCAATTCTGCTTGCAATTTCTAATTTTATTTATATACTGTAGGGCAATTGCATTCATACATTTTGGGCTCTGTTAGCTTATTCGCATATAATACACGTATTATACACCCGTACGTATGATACACGTATTATACTCCCGAATACAAATTTTTAATGGGATGAACGTATAATACTCGTATTTTTGACCCCAAACGTATTTACGAATTTTATACGTATTATACTGCAAAATTATTGGGTCAAATTCAGATGATGACATCTAATAAATTGATTATCTTTCTGCAAAAATAAAAATCTTTAAAATTTGGCGACTCAATTATTATAAAAGTATTAAAAGTCAGATCGTAGTTCAAGTCATCCACAAATTGTTATAAATAAAATGTCACCCACACTCTACCAGTTTCTTCGACTTCGTCCGGCTGAAAGTCCAACATTATTGCATCTGCACTAGTGAATAGTAGATAACAACATTTTCTCTATTTGTTTAGATTTTAAAAATGTGATCTATTTTTTGTATTTAGTTCTTAAGATTAAATATTAGTCCACGTTTAAAAAGACAAATTTGATTTTATTTATATTGATGGTGTAAATTACCACACAAATACTAAGTAAAAGTGATCGGAAGGGCTGTAGGTGGAAACACCTGTAACCCGGTTTGTTATTGATGATAATACTAAGACTATTACAAAGTACAAGCCGTGTAGGTTAATTAAAACATACCTCACAAATGAGGGTTTTAGGGGTATTTATAACAAAATTAAGCACGTCAAGCACGTCTCTGATTATCCAACCGGGCATTTGTCTGACCGGTTGCATAAGAGTACTTCGAGAATCTATCTGCAGTCGTTGTGCGCTCAATCCTTCCAGCCAACCGGTCTCACGACCCGGTCTGCAAAGCTTGCGCTCTGTCATCTTCTGTCACCACCCAGTCGGGCGAACCAACCGGGTGGTATCCATGGGTTATTACCCATCAAGGAGTCCTCCGATTCCCGGTCCTGTGGGGACCATCAGGAGCGGGAAGCACATGCGATTGTCTCTTGAAATTTGAACTGCCCAGTCGCTTTTTGGCGGGAAAATCGCCTCGGAAAACCAGCGCCAACCCAAAATATTTGAAATTTGAAATTCGAATTTTGAACTCTGTAAAAACCGGTTGTCCAAAGCGGGAGAAACGTCTCGAGGTCGGGTACGGAGCCGCCGATTCATTATGCCGTTTCGTCTCCCCGAGAGGTTATGATGGCAAATCATTTCAGCTGCCACGTGTCATTCCTTCATTCGCCCGTCTGGGCGGCATCTTTCCTATATAAAGCGAGCTTCTCCCTAGAATTCCCTCACTTGCAAATCTTCGATTGAAAAACTGCCCGGCCGCTTTTGCTTATTCCCGAGTCCTCCGAGTCTTCTAATCGTATCCAAGTAAGTTTCTTTCATTCCTTTTCATAGTCATGTCAGACCGTGAGGATAGCCAGAACCCTTCCATTCACTCCTATGGTTCTGGTGGCCGGTCCCCAACCCTTGGTTCTTCTTCCTCTTCTTCCTCCGACTCTGAGCACCTGGCTACTTCTCCACAGAAGAAGCCGGTTGATGCATCCACTTGCGCTCCTTCTTCACCCGCGGCGCAAGTGGTCTCGGTTGCCCAGTCCGGGGACGAGGGCTTCATTCAGCTAGATGACCGGTTGCTCCAAGAGCAACCGTCGTATATGCAGAAGCCCTAAGTCCACGAGCTGCGTAATCTGATGCCCGATGGGTATCAATTGACCTACCGGGCAACCTGGAAGAGCATTATACCACTCCACGCCGGTACGTCGATTGGTATCCATTACCATTCGATCAAGGACTTGGGTGAGTTCTCTATTCACCCATTCAAAGTCCTTTTCCTTGAGACATACGAGATCATGCCCGGGCAGCTGGCCCCCAATGGTCACCGTTTGTTGGGCAGTTTCATTAATGTCTGCCGGTTTCTTCGTATCCCTCTCTCTCTTTGTCTTTTTGACCATATGTTCGATGTTCGGCCCGGGTCCAAGGAAACCCTTGGATTCGTGGTGGTGTCTTCCAACCAAGGCCGGGCATTCCTTTGTGGCCTTCCACCCTCTAACAAGAAGTGGAAGGACAAATATGTCTGTGTCAAATTCCCCCGGCTGCCTTTCCTTTTGCCCAAAATGTCTGGGGGAAAAGAATGAAGCGCCAGGTCAAACCAGCGGAGGCCGTTGACCTGGCTGCCTGGGAAGCCACCCTCCGGGCCGGGGACGCCTCCACCCGCGGTCTGTACCACGTCGGGAAGTGGAGCGTCTACCCCGGTCGGGAGACTGACCCCGAACCGGAGATTGTTCTGCCCGGGGCGATCCCCGAAGCCATCCCCTTCCGCCAGGTGAGGGGACCTAAAGCCCTGGCCACTGCCACTGCCGGTCCTTCACGCCCGGCGAAGAAGAAAAAGGAGAAAGGTCAATCAACTGCTCTTCTCAATTCTCACGTTTCTTATTATTTTTCATCGTTGTTTTTCTAACCGGCCCTTCTTTCCTGCAGTGGTGAAATTTCAGTCCAAGTTTGCCGTCCCACAAATAGTGGTTGAGGAGCCCTCCACTGCTCATCCGATCAACCCTCCATCCAGCCAGCCCTTCTCCCTGGAAGAGCAACAAACCCAATCCCATCAGGGAACCAACCAGCCCATTCACTCGGGGGATCTCTACATTAATGTAGATACCTTCGAGTTCGACACCCTGATGGGGGAGACTGGGCACACGTCCCAGGCTGGGATGGCAGGCTAGCCCAACGAGGAGGGCGAAGCCGAGGAAGAGGCAGCTGGGGAGTCTCTTCAACGGAAGAGGCGGAGGACCGAAGAGGTCAACCAGCCAGCTCACCAGGGGCCCCAGTCCTCCGATGCTAGCAAGGGGCCCATCGCGCCTCATTCCCTGGCTTTCATGTCCAGGTCAAACGAGGAACTCTTCCGAGCGTTCCGATCGGATTTGAATGAGGTAACCCCTTTTCCTCCCCTACCGCCCACTTACCGTTCTTATACTTTTCTGAGAAATTTTCAATGTCTTTAAAGCAGGTCGGCCGGATCGGGGAGGAGTACTTCGCCCGGCGGGTGAAGTCGATGGATGAGGAGAAGGCCCGGATGGAGGCCATGATGGTCGAATGCCGGAAGGAAGCCCAGGCTGCCCGGGCCAAGGCAGAGAAGATAGAGGCCAAATGGACAGAGCACTGTGCGGTTTACCGCCAGCTCTATGCCAAGCACGACGGTCTCCTCAAGGCTGCGAAAGAGGCTGATGAGCAGGCCCAAGCCAAGATCCAGCAGCTAGAGGCCGAAAATGCCCGGTCAGCCGAGGAAATCGCTCGGCTAGGAGATGAGCTGCAGAAAGAGCAGTCGGAGCGTGCCGCCCTTGCTGTTGCCTGGGCTACTCAAGCGCTTGAGGAGTTCGCCGCTAAGGCGTTGCCTGACCGGGAGACTGCCATCCGCTTCTTCCAAGGCTTGTACAAGTACGAGGTCTCGGCCGGGATCGTGGGCGAAATCGGAACTTACGGCTTTGAAAGCGGCCAGTACTCGGAGCGGAAGGCCCTCTATGGCATCCTTCAGCAGAGGATCCAAGGTTTTCAGCCGAAGGCTCTTTCTCTGCCCGAGCTGCAGAGCGAGGCGCCTGAACCTCCTTTCCCGGGCATCTAAACCATCCGCCCTTCTTCTCTCTTTCTTTTTTTATGTTTTCTGATATAATGATCTGCCTCCGGGCACTTTTGTAAGACTAATATTAATACAAGTATTTTCAACATTTTGTGCTGAGTGCTTTTATTCCCTGTATTTATAAATTCTTTAACTTAATATCTTTAACCGTTTAGAGTAGTAAATAGCAGCCTGGCTGCATTTACCCGGCTTAGAATATAATTTTACCCAAGTCTTTTCGAAAGACTGGATAGCCAGCCGAGAAGACTTTAAGGTTTATAAATTTCCTCCCGGTTTGGTATAGCCCTCGATGGCGTATTGACTTGTCCTTTTCGAAAGGTTAAGCATTTGCCCGGGTTCTTGTAAGGCCGACCTGTTTTCACAATGGCTTGACGCCCTTGTGGAAAGGTAAGTCTTAAATATCTTTTTTTTTGGCAGAACGATCTGGCTTGAACTGGCCGGGATGCTCTCCCTTTAGTTAAGCCAAATTGTTCTTAACTCCCGTGTCAGTACGGATGAGGTGTTCGATCGGTCAGACTGGTCTCTCCCTTTTTTTTTAAGATGTCCAATTCGATTGGACATCTAACCAGGTAGATTGTCACGTGACGAATTACCGGTTGATGTACGGGAACAATCTTTCTGAAAAGAACAAAGTTTTATTAATGACCGGGAACTCATTACACTTTATCTAAAAAATTTACGCAAGTGGTGAGAGTTCCAATGTCGATCGACCCGGCCACCTTCCATAGTCTCCAACTGATAAGTGCCCGGTCTGACAATTGCTTTTACACGAAAGGGCCCTTCCCAGTTACGTGCCAGTTTGCCCCTCTCATTAGGCTTACTAGCATCCCTCCTGCGCAAAACTTCATCATGCACTTGGAAGTATCGTGGGCCTACCCGGTTGTCATGATACCGTTTTACTGACTGCTGGTAACCGGCCATCCTGACAGCTACTATGGTCCTTCGTTCTTCCACCAGATTCAATTCAGCGAGGTGATCGACCTCATTCTGACCGGGCTGATACATAGTCTCTCTAAATGTTGGGATTTCTGCCTCTACTCGTAACCAGGCTTCACATCCATAAGTGAGCACAAAAGGAGTCTCCCCAGTCGCCCTCCTTGAGGTCACTCTATGCGCCCAGATCGTATGAGGTAAAGCTTCCAGCCACTTGTGTCCTTCCTCGCCTAGTCTCTTTTTAAGACCGTCCACAATTGTTCGATTAGCGTTTTCGACTTGGCTATTTCCCTGTGGATATGCCACCGATGCCTTGCTGTGCTTGACCCCGAAGCTAGCAAGGTATGCAGAGAACTGGGGGTTGCGAAACTGTGGACCGTTGTCGGTGACAATGATTTTTGGGGCACCAAACCGGGTGATGATGTTTTTCCAAACAAATTTCTCACATTGCCGTACGGTTATGGTGGCCATCGCCTCAGCCTCGATCCATTTAGTGAAGTAATCAATAGCCACCATCACGAATTTCTTTCCGCCTTGGGCAACCGGGAAGGCTCCAATAATGTCAATCCCCCACCGGGTAAATGGTATGACATTAGAGGTTGGTTGGTAATAAGTGGCCGGTCTGCCGGGATGTTTGTAAAAAACTTGGCACGTTCTACATCTCTAGACATACCTTTCACAATCCCCAACAATGGTCGGCCAGTAGTAGCCTAGCAGGATTATCCTTTGAGCCAAAGTGCGGGACATTTGATGGGCTGCACAAACTCCCTCATGTACCTTGGCAATTACCCGTTCAGCCTCCGGGTTGGTAAGGCAACACAAGAGTGGTCCGCCAATGGCACGTTTGTATAGATGACCATCGATTACCTGAAAACGTGGAGCCCGTAGGACCACTTTCCTGGCTCGTTCCTCGTCATCTGGCTTCTGACCGGTCTCCAGATACTCCATGAGTTCATACTTCATCATCTGCCCCGATTATCCCGGTTGCTGATGTCTGGCCCGGTTGGATGGCCGCGACTTCAAACCGGTCTGTACTTGGCACGTCTAGGACCTCAATTTTTGCCAACTTCGACACATGCTCTGGGCAAGCTTGCGTCAATTTTGAAAGCATATCTGCATCAGCGTTTTCCGACCGGGGTATCCTAGTCAAACGAAACTCTTCTAATTCCCTTAGAAGCGCTCGGACCAGATCACTATACCGGGCCAGGCGATCCTCTTTTACTTCCATCTCACCATTGACCTGTCCAACCACTAGACTTGAGTCGGAACGGATCTTCATCCTTTTTATTCCGAGTTTCCGGGCTAATCTGAGGCCACCGGCCAACGCCTCATACTCCGCCTCATTGTTGGTGAGCCTGAAGTTGAAAATTAGGGCATGGTAGATCCTGAATCCTTCCGGGGTAGTGAAGACTACGCCGGCCCCGCATCCCTTCGGTCCAGAGGCTCCATCAACGGCCATATCCCACCACGGTTCGACCGTATGGGAAGGTCCGGCTTCGGGCTCTAGACCGGTTAGTTCAACGAGGAAGTCTGCCAAAGCTTGACCCTTAATTGCAGTCCTTGGTTTATATTCTATTTTGAACTGAGTAAGCATCATCGCCCACTTGATCAACCTTCCCGAGGAGGTCGAATTTCGAAGGACCGGTCCAAGTGGCTGATCGGTCAGTACTTCCACAGTGTGAGCTTGGAAGTATGCGGTTAGTTTTTTGGCCGTTATGAAAAGTGTGTATGCCGTTTTCTCAATGGCAGTGTACCGGCTTTCAGCCCCGTTTAGTGCTTTGCTCACATAGTAAATAGGCCTCTGGCCGTCTTCATTTCTTATCAAAACAGAGCTTACAGCGTTTTGGGAAATTCCCAGATACAAGTACAAAGTCTCACCCGGTTTGGGCTTTGACAAAACAATATCAGAGACTAAGTACTCCTTCAGCTGCTGGAAAGCTTCCTCGCACTCCTGGTCCCACTCGAATGTGTTGGCCTTCTTTAACACCTTGAAGAAAGGCAGAGCCCTTTCAGCAGACCGGGAGAGAAAACGGCTCAAGGCTGCCAGCCGCCCGGTAAGTCGTTGTACGTCCTTCAGCGAACTGGGCGACCTCATTTCAGTTATGGCCTTGATCTTCTCCGGGTTTGGCTCAATACCACGCTTGGTCACCATGAACCCCAAGAACTTACCGGTCTTTACAGCAAAGACGCATTTCTTGGGGTTGAGACGCAAGTTGTACCTGGCCATAATCTCGAAGCAAAGCCTCATGTCGGCTGGGTGGTTTGTCGCGGCCGGGCTTTTGATCAGCATATCATCTACATAGGCCTCCATGGACTTACCGAGGAGAGGCTTAAAAAGCCGGTTTACCATCCTCTGATAGGTGGCGCCCGAGTTTTTTAGCCCAAAAGCCATCACCCGGTAGCAATAAGTGCCTTCAGGTGTTAAGAATGAAGTCTTCTCCTCGTCCTCCTCGGCCATGAAGATCTGATGATAGCCTTTGAAGGCATCCATGAAGCTCAGCAACTCACAACCGGTCGTCTCATCGACCATCTGATCGGGACTGGGCAACGGGTATGAATCCATGGGGCAAGCCTTGTTCAGATCCGTGTAATCCACGCACATGCGCTAGGTATCGCCTTTTGGAGCCAAGACGACGTTAGCCAGCCAGGCCGGGTATTGTACCTCCCGTATGTGCCCGACCGCCAACAAATCCTTCACCTCTTTTTTCACAAAGTACCTCCGGACGTTCGCCAAGTGCCTCTTCTTTTGTTTCACAGGCCGGCTCCCTTCCATCACAGCCAAACGATGGCAAATAACAGAGCGGTCAATGCCCGGCATGTCCGCCACACTCCAGGCGAAAATATCTGCATACTCCCGAAGAACTGAGATGATTTCATCTCGAAGTCCTCCGGGCAGATCTCTTCCGATCCGTACCATTCTTTCTGGGAAGGCTTCCCGGAGAACAATCTGCTCGGTCTCGTCACCCGGTTCCAGGTTTGACCGGTCTTCCTCTTGAGAGACCAAAGTGACTCTCTCAAAGGCCTTCGTCATCTTCTTTACAGCTTCCAAATAGCAATGCCGGGCCTTCTTTTGATCTCCTCTGACTTGTCCTATACCTCCCGGGGTATAAAACTTCATACAGAGATGGGCCATGGAGATGACCCCACGGACCTTATTTATCCCAGGCCAGCCCAAAATGGCATTGTGAACACATTTGATGTTCACAACTACAAACCTCATTTGTTTCTGGACGACCTGTTCACCTGTGCCCAGCTCGCAATTTAAAAGGATCGACCCCTCAACTTCGACTGAGTCCCCGGTAAACCCAGACAGGGGAGTCTTTAAGGGCTCAAGCCGTGTTCGACACAACTTGAGCTTCTCAAATGCATCCAGGTACAAAACGTTAACACTGCTGCCCGTGTAAACAAGTACCCGGGAGACATCAACTCCACCCATGTCCATAGTTATCACCAGGGGGTCATTGTGATCTTCTCCGGTGGCGGGAAGGTCCTGGTCAGTAAAAGTGATCGGTTCCCGTCTCGCTTGTTTCGACCGGGGATTTAGTGCCACCATACCAACGTAGAGTTCTCGCCCCCATTTCTTTCTTTGGGAGGCAGAATCTCCTCCTTCCGGCCCGCCGTAGATGACCTGTAAGTGCTCCTTGCCGGCTGCTTTCTTCTTCTTGTTCTATTCGGCCGGCTGTCCTTCAGGCCTAACCCATTGGTTCTTCTTTGGTTTGGCCTGAGCTAGGTACCCAGGATCGATCTCTCCGGCCTCAATCATCTATTTGATTACTCCCTTCACACTGTTGCATTCCGCAGTGTTATGGGAATCAGTTTTGTGGAAAGAGCAATACTTCTCCGTCCATTGTTTTTCGGTGGTCGGTTTCTTCTCTGATTTGACCGGCTTTACCTCCATGACTTCAGCCTTTGCTCTACCGGGCAGTTCAATTTCCTTCTTCAAGGAAATCTTTCCTTTGGGATGGCCCTGCTCGGCCTCCCTTTTAGACGACACCTGTGCTTCAGCGTCTGCATAATCCCAAGCTGTGTTGTATGCCTCCTGGTAGGACTGGGGAGGCCTCCTGCAGAATTCCTTGTACAATTCTCCAGACCGGAGCCCGGACACAAGGAGGGACATGGCTGTTTTGTCGTCCATCTCCTCCACCTTATCAACCTCACCCTTCCACCGGGTAAGGAATTTTGTCAGATCCTCGTGCTCTCGCTGCCCGGCTGTACTCAAGTAGGTAAACTTTTTCCGATTGGTACAATTTTCTTTGAACTTTTCTTGAAACACCTCAGCCAGTTCATCGAAAGAATCAATTTCACCGGCCAGTAAGTTATGAAACCACTCGGAGGCGCGGCCGCGGAGGGTCTGAAAGAAAAGCAAACATTTCTCATCCCCGGAAAGACCCATCATCCGCCCACTTTGATGGAGGGTTTTGACGTGAATTTCCGGGTCCTCCTTCCCGGTGAACTTCGGGACTTCAAGTTTTGCCTTCTTTGGAAATGGGGTTTCATGAACCCGATCTGTGAACGGGGATTCGTTCAACAGGATTTTCTTCTTTTCCTCCCGGTCTACCCGGCGCTGTAGCTTCTCCAATCGTGCCTCAACCCGGCCCACACGATCCCGTGGCTCAACAAGGGTACGAGTCGTGTGCCTGGGGTGGCTTTCTGCTTCCTCCTCTCGTGGTGCCCGGCTGTGCTGGGGCTCATCTCGTGGGGGTGGTTCCGTTCACCTGGTCTGACCAGGTCGTCCGGCTCGTCCCCCTACACGATTAAGTGCACTAGCCGGGACGGTCTCCACCCCCAAACGCTCCTTTGCTGGCCGATTTTGATTTCGGCCATCGTGTCCCAGCCTTTGAAAGGCTGACCTCCTAGATCCTTCTGGTTGAACATCCTTTCCTTTCAATTTTTTGAGCGCTTGGGGGACATCCCAATCCTCGTCTTTGCTATGGACTGAACGCACATTCCCATCCAAGGTCACCTTTGTCTGCGACCTGCGGGACCGGCTCCTCCTGGATCGGGACGGGCCTGCTTTGTCCATCTCCCCGATTAGGTTTGTCGGGACGACCAGGCGAATGATGTTAGTTTGAGGTGAGGATTGTGGGTACAATCCTGGAATAAAAGGTGAAAATCCTCCCGGTTGCTGAAACATGGACATGAAATGTCCAAAACTCTGAAGGGCTTGGCTGTACATCGGATCAAGGGGTCCGGGGAAATTTGAAGGAAAAATAGGCACGGGGTTCATGGGGGAAGTGAATGGGGTAGGTGGTGGAATGGTGATAGTGGGGGTAAGAGTCTGGCTTGTCAGTTGGGTACTTCCTCCCGGGAACGAAGTTACGTTCTCAGCGGGAGTAGAAATTTGTGAGATCACGGTTTCCTGATTACTGGCCATGACTTTTTGTAATAGGTCCCACGGATGGCGCCAATTTGATGGTGTAAATTACCACACAAATACTAAGTAAAAGTGATCGGAAGGGCTGTAGGTGGAAACACCTGTAACCCGGTTTGTTATTGATGATAATACTAAGACTATTACAAAGTACAAGCCGTGTAGGTTAATTAAAACATACCTCACAAATGAGGGTTTTAGGGGTATTTATAACAAAATTAAGCACGTCAAGCACGTCTCTGATTATCCAACCGGGCATTTGTCTGACCGGTTGCATAAGAGTACTTCGAGAATCTATCTGCAGTCGTTGTGCGCTCAATCCTTCCAGCCAACCGGTCTCACGACCCGGTCTGCGAAGCTTGCGCTCTGTCATCTTCTGTCACCACCCAGTCGGGCGAACCAACCGGGTGGTATCCATGGGTTATTACCCATCATGTATGATCTAAATTCAAAAAATCTAAGTTCGTAACTATATTTTTGTATTCTTAAAATAAAAATATAGACTAAATTTAATTTTACTTTACTTTAAATTATGTAAAACATTATTTAGTAAGTTCATATTTAAATTATAAAGAGACTTAAATTTTCCTTTTAAATTCATGATAAACATTTAATCAATTTTGTAGAACATAATTTGTCTAATAATATAATTTTTGTCATGTCTTAAATGCTTTATTCATATCTAAATGTTGGCTTCATTTTTCAGAACGTGTTCTTACTTTGAATACATTTTGTGGAAGTATAGACTAATAATTAGATTGAAAGATCTCATTTGAGTACACATAGAAAAAATGATTAAACAATAAATCATAGTGTTGGTTAAATTTTTAGAACTTTATGATGTATTTGTATTCAATTTCAAAGTTTAAAATGTGTTTCTTATTAAAAATATATGCATTCATTATAAGCCGTATTTTTGAAAAATAAAACGTATAATACGCGAACGTATCCGTATACATACTCCGAACATATAAAGTGTATAATAAGACATATTTTAAAAAAATGGACCGTATTATACACGAACGTATGAATAGACGTATTATACCCGTATCCGAATAAGCTAACAGAGATTTTGGCGTACTTTATAACATTGGATGCCAGAACTCTAGAAAAACTTTCTTAGAAAATGAATTTATAAATCTGATTTTAATCCTTTAATTTAAACAGATTAATCTGCTCATATTTGTTCAAAAAATGTTTAAGCATGTCACTTTTAATATAATATTGTCTTTAACTAAAATTACTGTAGACAAACAGCAATTTTACCTCATAGAACCAACCAAAACTCATGCAAAACTACACAAAATCATCATTCCAAATAACGTGGAGGCTCCATTATCACACTTGAAGGAACCTACACAAAAAAGTTGAAAAAATATAAGTCTGTTGGACGAAAAAAGTGATCTTATTGATGTATATAAGTATACAATTTTCTCTAAAGTGATGAATTTGAAAAAAAACGGGGTGATGATATTGAAATCCCAAAAGCGTTTAACTGCATCATTGAACAACCACTTTTGTTCAAACTTGAAGTCAAAAAGTGAAAATCAACTTTCAATGAAAAAACTTCACTGTCCAGCAGATTATTAATGATAAGAAAATATTAGCCCGTTTTACATCTGACAACTCTAGCAAATAGGTATTACTTTATTTTTATTAGTAATTAAGTAATCAATATATACTAACAAACTATTATTTATTATTAGGACTCTATTAAGAGTAAACCACACAAGTCTATCAATGAGCAAGCTAATGTGCTTACATGTAAGGGTTCTACTTAATATGATGAGCTTAATAGCCATGGAACTGATGTCAGCTCCATTATTTCAAACATTAAGATGAAAAGAGATCTCATCAAGGAGTTTGAGGACATGGATGCTCATTTGAAAAAGAACCAAAAGTGAGTGTGATGATTAAAACAGAAAGAATCAAGCTTAGAGAAGTTGCCCAGATTTAGACACTTAACTTTCTTACTTTATTCCGTTTCTTCTTTCTTATTGCCCCCCTGTTTAAGACTACTATCTCCTAAGTAACTATTTCCCTCATTTCCTTTTAAAAATATAATATTATGTGTTGTGTGTGGTTCAGTTATTAATCAGTTTGAGTATTACATTCAAGATGACGTTGTAAGTATTCAAATATTGAGATTTAATTTCTCTATCCTTAACCTTGGAAGTAGATAAACACTATTTTAGGCTTCATTTGTTCTCATTTTTATATCCAATGTGACAACACACAAGACCAAAACTGAACCGCAATTATAGCACTCAATAGGTTATTTTTTTATAAATGCAGAGTACCATGAAATTAGGAACCACCAACATACCATGTCACTAAACCAGATTTGTTCATATTCTTAACTCACAAAAAAGGTATGTTGTCATTTATTATATCTCCTCAAAACATACTTAAATGCATTGTTCTTCAAACCCAAAACAAGTTGTTACCTCAAAATTAAAAAAAGGAAACAGACAAAAGAGGAAATAACACCTGAACCACCAACAAATGATGCACCATTGCTCACTGTCACTGACATTCATTTCCCATGTTATGAAATTACCTTTCTGTTAAGAAAATCCTTAAATACCTACATCAAAATGTATATAAGTTTTTCTTATACCATTTTTTGTAAATCTCAAACACTAAAGCTTCACACACTTTAGACCTTTGGTTTTACTTAACAGCAAAATATTAAGCTTCAAATCTAAAAACTTTGAAAATAAAACTTGGATTTCAAAAACATCTTGGAAAATCACATCAAAACATTTTCAAAAACAGATAAGTAATCATTTAAACACTCTCAAACCAGTAAATGAAAAGCAAACACCACACACAAAAGAAAGTCACATCTTGTAAAACTAAAGCAAATTGAGAAGAGGGAAAGAACAGGAAATAAACCAGAAAAGAACTCAATTGCTTCATAATTTTTACAATCTTGTCATTGACTTGCTATGTTATCTTCATTGTAATTCAAAAAATGGTAATTTAATCAACAACTCAAAAAAAATCAAATCAAACCATTTCATAATTAACTTCCTTCGAGAAATATTCAAAATACCTTTATCAAGAATGCATATAATTTCCTAACACCACTGAGTTCATTCTCAAACACTAAATCTCCACACACTTTCAAGTGTTTGATCTATTTTAACATCAAAATATTAACATCAGAATTTAAAAACTTAGCAAAGAACACATGAATTTGAAAAAAAACAGCCCGTCAAACCCAAACAAATCAAAAAAGTAATTATTTAATCATTCTCAAAACAGAAAATGAAAAACAAACAACACACAATCAAAGAAAGCAATATCTTTTAAAAGATAAATGAAAAGAAGATAAAAGATGATACACAAAGGTATCTAGCTCGTGCGGCGGTGAAGAAACTAGGCAGAAGAGAAGAAGGACGATACTTCCGATCGGCCGTAGGGGAAGGATTTAGGGTTTGTAGAAGAGAAGTAGGGAGAAGATTAATCTTATTAGGATGAATACGTAAGGGAGTTGGGGTCCCTTATATAGTAACATATGGAGTCCTCAAACCCTAATATTAATTCTAACCTGTCGGTTCAAAAAAGGCGTCGAGGTAAAGAACCGAAAAGAAACCCTCGAAGGAGCTTATAAACGCTCACCTAGGAAAAATCTAAGTTACAATAAATAAAGAAATAAATAAAAGATAAAAGAACTACACATAGTCCTGGTAACGTTGGGGTGGCCCAACGCTACGTCGTGGTCGCCCCGCTGTCGAGGTTCCGTTTGTGTTGTCCGCATGCACCACGTCCGGCCTTCCCATTGGCAGGCCCTCCTCACTATTCGGGCATTCAGCATGGTTATCGGTCGGCCCATCTATGCTTGGGCCCGTATCAACTCCCCCCCGCTTAGCCATAGCCTTGTCCTCAAGGCGTAAATCTGGAAAAGCAGCAATTAGTTCCTGGACTGGTTCCCATGTAGCCTCTGCCGGGGTGCCATCCGACCACTGCACGAGCCACTCGTCCCGCGGTTCCCCGTTGACCAGCACCCGACGACGATCCCATGCTGCGACCGGGACAGATAATGGTCTTCCCTTGATGAATTCCAGAGGTAAAGAGGGTAGCACGGCACTGTCATCCCGCTGAACATAGGGTCGCAAGAGTGAGACATGGAATACATTGTGTATGCGGCAAGTCTCCGGTAAACGGAGGCGGTATGCAACCGGCCCCACCCGTTCCAAAACTTCAAAGGGCCCATAGAAACGTTTAGCCAGCTTGTACGACCCAGGACGTGCCAAAGAGTGTTGCCGATAGGGTTGTAGCCGAAGGAGCACCATGTCGCTGACGTTGAATACCACCTCCCGCCGGTGGCGATTAGCCTGGGCGCACATCCTCTGCTGCATTTTTCTCAAATGAAGTTTTAAATCCTCCAATAAAGCAGCTCGCTCACGCAATAATTCCTCCACTGCGGGGACCCGGGCACGGACGGATAATGTGGGAAAGAGAGACGGTGGGGGTCTGCCATATAAAACCTCAAATGGAGAGACCCCAAGACCCTCGTGGTAGGTACAATTGATGGCCAATTCTGCCCAGGGTAAAAACACGGCCCACTTCGATGGGCGCTCGGAAACAAAAGCGCGTAGGTATTGTTCAAGGTGACGGTTGAGAACCTCGGTTTGGCCATCAGTTTGTGGATGATAGGACGTTGAATATTTCAAGGAGGTTCCACTCAGCCGCAACAGCTCCTTCCAAAATGTGCTCATGAAAACTGGGTCGCGATCGGAGACCAATGAACGGGGAAACCCATGATGCTTCACAACAATATCGACAAAGAGTAGCGCCGCTCGCGGAGCATCAAACCCGGTGGGGAGCGGGCCAAAATGAACATATTTACTCAGCCGATCGACCACTACTAACACATCCGTAAATCCCTTGGATGGAGGTAAGCCCGTCACAAAATCCAACGACGCCGCCTCCCAGACCTGGTCGGGAATGGGCAATGGTTGCAGGAGACCCCCGGGTTTTTGCGTCGAGTACTTCGTGGCTTGGCACACCGTGCATGAAGCCACAAACTGGCATACCGCCCGTCGCATGCCTGGCCAGAAGAAAATGGCTGCTAAACGGCGAAATGTGCGGTCGACGCCCTGGTGGCCGGCCGTAGGTGTGGCGTGAAACTCATGGAGGAGTTGTTGGCAGAGGGGTGACGCAGGGCTGATGTACAAACGGTGATTGTAATAAAGGACCCCATCATGAACCGAGATATGCGAAGGCGCTGACCCGTCACGGACCGCTGTATGTAATGACACCAGGTCTGGCAGTGAAGAATTCTCTGTCTTTAGGGTCTGTAGGAGGTGAGGAATGGGCTGTGCACACACGGTGAACAGATTGGCTGGGTCCGAATCGTCTTCCCGGCGAGATAATGCATCGGCGACGCGGTTTGTGGCCCTGACTTTATACTCAATACGAAATTTGTAACCCATAAGCTTGCGTATGTAGAATTGCTGATCCGATGTCTGAATAACTTTCTGGAGTAGTTCCTTTAGACTCCGTTGATCACTACGGATAACAAATTCGTGTCCCAACAGATATTGACGCCACTTGTGCACTGCTTCAACAATTGCATATAATTCCTTATGATAAGTGGATGCAACTCGTCGTCTCGGTCCCAAAGTTTTGCTGAAAAAAGCAATTGGATGGCCCCCTTGTGTGAGAACTGCACCAATCCCATAGTCAGACGCGTCGGTCTCAACGTAAAAAGTCTGAGAAAAATCCGGCAAACGAAGTACGGGGGCCGTGGTCATAGCTTGCTTGAGATGCTCGAAACTGAGGTCAGCTGCTTCATCCCAGTGAAACCCATCTTTCTTTAGTAACCTCGTCAGTGGAGCAGCAATTGTAGCATATCCGGCTACAAATCGGCGGTAATAACCGGTCAAGCCCAAGAATCCTCGTAGCTGCTTCACCATCCGCGGCTTGGGCCATGCGAGCATGGCTGAAAGAAGGTGCCCCAGGTAATCGATCGTAGTTCGGCCAAAAGAACATTTGCTGAGTTTGAAGAAGAACCTCTGTTCCCGCAATGTAGCCAACACAGAACGCAGGTGCTCTAAATGGGCCTCCAAGGATGCACTGTACACTAGGATATCATCAAAGAAGACAATAACGTACCGCCGTAAATGGGGTCGAAATATACTGTTCATGGCAGCCTGAAACGTCGATGGTGCATTTGTGAGCCCAAACGGCATGACGAGGAACTCAAAGTGCCCATCGTGCGTCCGGAAAGCTGTTTTGTACACATCCCCTGCGTGCATTCGGATTTAATGGTACCCCGAACGTAGATCCAGTTTGGTGAAGATGCATGCCTTACCCAACTCATCAAAAAGCTCATCGGTGGTGGGGATCGGGAAGTGGTCGGGGATGGTGGCGGCGTTCAATGCTCGGTAGTCGACACAGAAGCGGTATGTCCCGTCCTTTTTGCGGACCAACAATACTGGAGACGAAAAGGGGCTAGTACTGGGCCGAATTATCCCTTGCTCAAGCATCTCATGGACCTGTCGTTCGATTTCAGTTTTTTGAAAATAGGGATAACGATAAGGACGAACATTTATTGGTTTGGACGACGGGTCGAGATGAATCCTGTGGTCCCAACAGCAGACTGGTGGTAACCCACTGGGCAGACCGAAAACCCCCTCAAACTCAGACAGTAGTTCCTGGATAGGATGTGGGACATCAGCGGGGATAACCTCTGATGGTGCCCCTTGTGCGGTGATGGTATCAGCGGAAGACACAAGCTCATAATAATCACACGGCTCGGGTGACGCAGCAAGGGCGCAGAACTGACTGTAAGAGATGGGTCGCGGAGTAGGGGTGTCGCCGCGAAGAGTAATAGGACGGCCCTGCCAAGAAAATTCCATAGTCATTTCCGAATAATCATGGGAGATTTTGCCGAGCGTCTGGGGCCACTGAACGCCAAGTACGACGTCGGGCCCGTGAATAGAAAGCACATAAAGATCCACCTCAAAAACGTGGCCTTGCAATGATAAAGGGGTCTGCGGACAGGAGTAGGCGCAACGTAACGAATCACCGTTACCTACATAGACGCGAAAAGCCGGGGTAGGGTGTAGAACCAACGCCAAACGTTCGGCCACCGCGGGATGTAAAAAATTGTGGGTACTGCCCCCATCCAATAGAACCTGAACTGCCATACCATTGATGGAACCGGCCATCTTCAACGAGCGGGGGCTGCCTGCCAAAGATAGTATACTCGAAACATCCCCGGTGATGGTGTCCTCGGGCTGGCCGGATGTGGAAATATCGCCGCTAACCTCGTCGTCATCATCAGGACCCATGAGAACCAAAAAACGGTGTTTACAATTATGCCCCGGCACCCATTTTTCATCACAATACCAACAAAGCCCTTTTTTATTACGTTCCGTTTTTTCGGCAGGAGACAAATGGACAACGGGCAGAGAGGACTTGTCCCCCGAACGGCCTGTGAGTTGGGGTGGCCGTGGTGCAGGGTTGGGGGTCGGCAGGATACCTGTGCCAGAGGGAGGAGTCTGCCGTGACTGCCATGGTTTCCGGTTAGCCGAATAGGATGCCGCGGCCTATGCATGACACGCCGACAGTTCCCGAGCAAGGGCAAAGGCAGAAGCAAGGGTAGATGGGTTTTGCAAATTTACCTCTCGGCGCACCGGTTGTTTGAGACCCGCAATGAACATGGCAATCAGAGTCGCCTCTGGTACGCCCGAAACCTTGTTGAGAATTGTCTCGAAAGCCGATTGATAGTCCATAACGGAAGATGTCTGTGATAACTTAGATAACACACCAATATAATTTTCATAATAGCTTGAATCAAAACGTTGTTGCACCGCATCCAAGAACTCGGGCCAAGTAGCGCATGGATTATTAGCTTGGAAATAATGAAACCATTCCGATGCGGGGTGGTCGATGAGCATGGCGACCAACTGCAACCGCTCCGGTTCCGGGGTGAGAAAGTAATCAAAATATTTTTGTACCTTAAAAATCCAGCCCGTCGGGTCCTCACCGGAAAAACGAGGGGCATCCACCCGCATCCGTGGGGCGGGTTCAAGTGTGGGTGGTGTCGTGCGTGAAGGAGGAGGCCGCCACCCAGGGGTAAACTGCGCCGGAGGACGTCGCTGGTGTTCTGTACCCGGCCGGTTTGCCACTGCCAGTTCTGCCACCCTGGTCTTGGTGGTTTGGAGATCAGTCCGCAACTCGGCGATAGCACCCATGATGTCGGCGAGAGTAACAGTATCAGAGGGAATTCCAGAATCAGCCATGAGTACGTGGATGAAAGCACCAGTTGATACACAAAGGTATCTAGCTCGTGCGGCGGTGAAGAAACTAGGCAGAAGAGAAGAAGGACGATACTTCCGATCGGCCGTAGGGGAAGGATTTAGGGTTTGTAGAAGAGAAGTAGGGAGAGGATTAATCTTATTAGGATGAATACGTAAGGGAGTTGGGGTCCCTTATATAGTAACATATGGAGTCCTCAAACCCTAATATTAATTCTAACCTGTCGGTTCAAAAAAGGCGTCGAGGTAAAGAACCGAAAAGAAATCTTCGAAGGAGCTTATAAACGCTCACCTAAGAAAAATCTAAGTTACAATAAATAAAGAAATAAATAAAAGATAAAAGAACTACACATAATCCCGGTAACGTTGGGGTGGCCCAACGTTACGTCGTGGTCGCCCCGCTGTCGAGGTTCCGTTTGTGTTGTCCGCATGCACCACGTCCGGCCTTCCCATTGGCAGGCCCTCCTCACTATTCGGGCATTCAGCATGGTTATCGGTCGGCCCATCTATGCTTGGGCCCGTATCAAAAGACAGCACATGGAATGGACCAGAAAAAACAACAATTGCTTTACAATTTTGACTTGCTAATGGTCTTTCATTATAATTCATAACATGTTGATTCAATCAACAACCTAGAAAAAAAACTCAAATACGCTCCTTGATACAGAATTTTGTCAAATTAAGATATTATTCAAAAAATTACGGCTAATCTCATATCAAAACCTTCACTTATGATTCGGAACAAATTTGAAGAAAAAATTAAAGATACAATGAATATTCGAAGTGTAAATAAACAACTAAAATAAAAGATTTGATATCGTCACCTTCGAACAAACGCTCCGGATCTAGCTCAGAACCTTAAGATTATGTGCGATTTTTCACTGGCGTTAGGCCACTGGAAATGCTAGCAATGCGCTTAGGCAACGGCTATAATTTGGACGGTTAGATATTAATTTTAAAAAAATTATTTTCAATATTTTAAATAGACTTATTTTTAACACAACAAACACACACAACTTATTCTCATTATCTTCATAATTCCTCTAAAATATATTATATTTTTTTAATTATCTCTACAAAATATTTGAAAAATGAGATCATCATTTTATTCAAATCTTATTATATTAATGTAATATTTTATTGAATGTAATTTTTTTAATTAATGAGTTATTTTCGTTTAAATTCAATTAAATAACAATATTTATTAATTTAATTTTAGAAGATTTGTATTCAAAAATGTAAAAAATAAAGGTTTGAATCCCCAGTTTAAAGCCAAGGGCTTCAAACCCATTTCCAATGAAATTTTGGTGTAAGTTAAATCTGATGTGACAGAGAGAGAAAGTTTGAAGTCTCAGTTTAAAAACCCGAGGCTTCATGACCATTTCAGTGCTCTTATTACTCCGATTTCAAGCTACGTGTCACACAACTTAAGGCTTCACCGACAGGCGACAACATATTCTCTCTCAATTTTGCCTCTCTCTCTCTCCCTCTGTCTTTGTATGAACGCAGTGAACAGAATGAGAGAAAAAATCAAAGCACCCACATGACCACAACCTTATCTTCCGTTTTTCTACTATTCGGTAATAAAATAAGGAAATTACTAAATTAGGTCTCTTAAAAAATGGCATTAATTTAAAACTCCCTTTAAAAATACGGATCCATATCTATTTTTTTGGTGGTAATGAAGTAATGAACCATGGACATTGTGATAAAATTAAGTGAATTTTAAATAAAATGTGGCATAAACTAAAATTATGTTTTAAAAAAGGCCACATTACATGAAATTTGAAAATCCAAAATTATTATTTTTATAATTTGTGATGAAGGGTCATAAGGATAATACATAAATTCTTAGTATAAAATAAATGTCACATAAACTTTTAAAAACAAAATATATAGCTAGCTATTTTCTCTCAATTATTAGCTTTGACTATATGTAGGTGAAACTATATCAATAACTGATATTTTCAGGACTTATAAGCACACAACAAATTTATGCAAACCGATATGATAGATATACAAATATCTTTGGGTGAAGGACAATCACTTTCCAAGACAACTGTACGTTACCATTTCCAGGATTAGAAGTCGTTCGGGATTGAAGATTTTGTTTTGTAACAATGAAAATAAACCACATTTTGAGACCACCAATGTTCTGTACAAAGAGGTTTTCCAAAATATTTGAAAATTTAAATTCTGCACAAATAATTAAACATTGTTATGATTAACAAAAATTCGTTATTAAGTATGTATCCCAAAATTATGCACACTATTGTATATTTAAATATTTATGTTAACTATATTCAATGATATTATATGTAGCTTACATATAATATATTTCTCAGACTATTGATTTTAAGATTAAAAATTATATTTTACTTTTAAATTAATCTAATTTTAGAAACTTACATGTTCCCGTGCGTAGTGAAATCTACTATATATATATAAAAGTTGAATGAAAATTCCAATTCAAGGAAATTAATATTACATTGGCGGATCCAATAAGAGAGGAATGGGGCCTGTTGCCCTTTAGAGCAAACAAAGTCAAACAAACCTATTTCATAGGTTGAGGCGGATGTAGCAAAGTGGTTTTACGATTCGTTTCAAATGAGTTGACAGAGAACAGAGATTCGTTTCACTATGTGAAACTCATTTCGTTGAACGTAGTTAGAAAACTCATTCGAAAGAGGTACGACCAAAGGGAGTCCCCCGACCAACGGGAGAGGCACTTGCCCCCAATGAATTTTTAATTTTTTCAATGAGCATCTTAAATTTTCTTAAAAAAATTGTTATGCCCCCATCATAAAAAATTAAATGCCCCCACCAAAAATATGAAATGTTCCCAATAAAAAAATTAAGTTGAAAATCAAATAGGTATTGTTAAAAAAATGATTGTAAATTATTTAAAATAACAAAAACATAAGCTGAAAATAAAAATTATTAAGAGAAATAATTTTCTAGAGTGTATTTTTAAAATTTTTCATTAATTATTTGAATATTTTTTAGATGTTTTTTTTGTAATTTCACATTATTTTTTTGGAAAAAATTGGGGGTGCTACCCCAAACCCCGTAGTAGTCTCGCCCCCAGTCTCTTCAATTCCTGGATCTGCCATATATATGTGTGTATATATATATATATATATATATATATATATATATATATATATATATAGAAATGAGATCAGGTGAGAATGACATCTAATGAAAGAAAAAAGAATGTTTCTAGGCCCTTAGATCTAATCAGATCTGGAATTGAGATACGCTAATAGAAATGGGCATTTTAGAGATTTGACATTGTAAACCTTTTCTCTCTCCTATTTTGTATTGAACTATCCGTAGAATTAAGGCACAGTCTGCCTCTTTATGCTCATGTTTCCTTTTGTAGTAAGGATATTATCTGCTCAAAAAGTAAAGACTGTGGATCGTTGCTTTGATATTTCTTCTTCACAGATCTTGTTCCCGATTGAGAACGAGAGAGGTTCTAATCGACCTAATCTTGTAGCGAGAGGTTTTAGAAGATCGGGGGTTGTTTTATTTGGCAGATCGTCTCTCCCTCTAGGTAAATTTTTCTTCTCATTAGCATTTCTATTTATTTATTTCTAAATTTTTGATAATATTATGCTATTTGACATTCATAGTTCTGGAATTAAAATTCCAAATTGAATTACACTATCAAATTTCACCTTTTTGTATTCTAAAATTTACGTTCTATGCAATATCCTTATGCATATGTTACAATTGTTGAATTAATTTTTTTGTTCCACCCTTATGTTTTCTTATATTTACGTTTACTACATTTTCAAATACAAGTAATGCATTACTAGATCAATGGAGTGCATTATCATTTCACCGTGTTGCAAAAATGAGAAAACTGATGGGTATAATAAGTGAATATTTGTTGTGTTTTGCTAATTTCACTAGTTTATGATATTTCCTGTTTTTTCAATTGTTTCGTGTTGTAGTTTGTTTACATGAGTTGTATATTGTTTCCCCTTTCTTTTTAAATACTTTTGCACATAAACTGTTTGTGAAAATGCCCCAAAGAAGACCAAGTGTAATTTGAAACTACGAATAGTAGTTGAATGAAAGTCTTTTTAATTTCAAGTTTAAATGCATAACATATGTTCTTGATATGCATGTCAAAGTATACAAAATGCATTCTATTGCATTGAAAATGAAAAATAAAGAGCATTTTTAATATACTGTGTTGTTATTTTTTATTGGATCTACTCTTTCTAAATGTTAATGTGAATGACTTGTGCTTTTGGAGAGATTCTAGATATGCAATTTGTTTTTTGTCTGGATGTGATATGATGAGTGATATCTATGGTGTGTTTTTCAAATTCAAACATCTTTCTTTAAGGCATTTTTTGTTCCAGATTTACCCCCACGAGATAATATCTCCAACTTTAGATTTACTCTAGTTATTAATTTCCTAATCATGGCAAAACTTTGAAAATGCATCTTAGCCCCTAATTACATTCGATCCAACGTCTTCTGATCATTCTCATTTCTTTCACCAAGGATCATTCTCACCTGAACCAACCCCTATATATATATATATATATATATATATATATATATATATATATATATATATATATATATATATATTCCGTATGTATAATCAATTCATGATCTTCAAATCCATTTAAAAGGAAATTAATGATCGATTTTGTATTGCAAGGATTATTTGTTTACTTAATTGGCAGATTGCCATCCATCCTTATGATGAGGATTTGTTTCCTTTTCTTTAAGGAATGATAGTGGAAATAAGAAATAAATGCAAGTTTTAAATTTCATTCAATTTCTTTTGATTTTTTTTCTCTCTCCCCAAATCTTTTCTCGATCAAAACCCTTTTGGCCTTTTCGGAGTCCGCTACCAGAGCTTTAGGAAGCCAGCAGAGAAACTGGGAAGTGAAGTCTCATCTTCCAAATTGCATGAATACTTCATTGCTCATATACTCATTCCGTTATATATTTCAATTCTTTTGTTGATTTCAATTCAACCTTATATTTTTGTTTGCATGTTTTCTATCTTTAGCTCAGGAAGCTCCGAAAACAAAATCGTTTATACTCCTCATTTTTTGAAAATCTCAAAAAAAGTTTTTACTTTTTTTTTCGGAAAATAAAAAACAAAAATTGTTAATTTGAGACATAAAGATGCAGTATATATTACTCCGTATTTTTTTCAAACAAAAATCATTCTAAATTTTAGTAACATTATAAAAATAATTTATAAAGAAATTAAAAAAACCTTATTTAATAAAAGAAATAATATAAAAAAAAATTAAAATATTATTATCCCGTAACTAATGGTCAGTAGAGAATGCTCAACTTGGCCTTTTGCATAGTATATTTTTTTCATCAAATTTTTAAAGTATTACTCCGTATTATATTGTACTACTACAATCTTTAACTAATAATTACTTTCATTATGGAAAATACTTGGGGGATTCGACCTCAAGTAAACACTAAGACAAAGGCATACACATAAAAACAAGCAATATATGCTAGTTAATGTCATGCATCCCACGCATAGGAGGGCTTAAAATCACTGTCCTTGGGGAACTCGCCTCCAGCAAAGTAAAACCCAAGAACATCGACTCTCCAAGTGGAGTACCTCTCGTTCGCGGCAAAATCGTGGTGGGCGTCATAAACCGCGAAGCTTTTGGATTTGGTGCCCCAATTGAAATCGCACCAGAACAGAGTCGTAGCCCAGACGTTAACGCGGAACCGAATCTCGCGCTCTTGGTTCTCCCCCATGGTCCACACCCCCAGATCATCGGATTTAGATCGGCAGTGCACCTGCAGGTTCGGAGCATGGAGCGAATTGTTGGCCGGGATAGAATCTTGAATCCGCACCACCTTTTTCGGGAGGATAAGGCTAGCGGCACTGGCGATCTGCGGCGGCGCTACTGTTGCGCAAGAGACNCGCACCAGAACAGAGTCGTAGCCCAGACGTTAACGCGGAACCGAATCTCGCGCTCTTGGTTCTCCCCCATGGTCCACACCCCCAGATCATCGGATTTAGATCGGCAGTGCACCTGCAGGTTCGGAGCATGGAGCGAATTGTTGGCCGGGATAGAATCTTGAATCCGCACCACCTTTTTCGGGAGGATAAGGCTAGCGGCACTGGCGATCTGCGGCGGCGCTACTGTTGCGCAAGAGACGAAAAACGTGATGAATAGGAAAGCTGATTTTGAAGAAATCTTATGGCCTGTTTGGGAATAGCTTTAGCTATTATAGCTATTAGCGGTTAGCGTTTTGAAAAAGCTATCAACAATGTTCTTAAACTATTCTTAGGGACTGTTTGTTTCAGTCTCTTAATGGTTCAGATGTCTGAAAGATTTAGCACTTAATGATTTAGACTGTTTATTTTAGCCTCTTAATGGTTCAGAAGTCTGAATGATTAAGAGATTTGCTTCTGAATAGTTAAGTATTATACAGAGTCTGAATGGTTAATACCTCTTATCTGAATTGATCAGACATTTACCTCTAAATAGTTAAGCAATATACTAGCTCTTAATGGTTCAGACCTCTTTGTGGTTCAGCACTTAATGGTTCAGACTTCTTATTGATTCAGCATTTACCCATTCAGAAGTTGCAAAACAACCCCTTAGTCTAAGACCAAATTATTGTAACACCCTAATTCGTCTAGGTTTGTAGCCCTTTCGGACTAAACTAGATAATGGTAAAAATTTAAAACATTTCAAACACTTTTAGTTATCACAATGATTTTTTTCATAACATAAACAATACAGAGTTTGAATATGAGTAAGGATATCTAATGTACCTACGTGTAGTAAATAAGATATACTACACGCTCAGTGTTGAAGATGAGTAAGGATATCTAAAGCATCGAACAAACCCTAATAAATTGAATCTCAATTCATAATTAAATCATTTGATACCATGCTCTCAATAAGGAGATATGCAACTAAGAATGAAAAAAAATATTTGGCCCCAAAACCTATCAAAGAAAAAAAAATTGTCCCAAAATATACTCTCCCAAATCAATGAAATAAACATGATAATCTCCCCCCACACTTAAAATATACATAGACCTCGATGCATCTATATGATATAACAATAAGCAACAATGATGTATCCAAAAGAATAACCTAAGTGAGAAGGGGATGGGGAGTAATGCAACAAAAGTAAAGGAGAAAGGATGGGAAGTCGAATGCAAATTAAAAAAAAGTATATGCGGCACCAATTCATCAGTTCCCCTTCTGTATTGTGCTCGTATCCTAAAATCTGCAAAGAGAAGGCTAAGACCAAGTATTTTAGCGTTGAAGAACAAAAAAATGATGTTTTCCATTTTAGCACATATAAGCTGTGAAAAGTGTAGAATTTTTCATTCTGCACTCAAAAAACAAGCTTACAAAGTGCATATTTTTCAGTTTAAGCACAAAAATCAAATTGAGAAGTGTAGAGTTTTTCCATAAGTACCCAAAAATCAGCCTTAAAACTGCAGAATTTTTCAGTTTTCAGCCATAAAAGATCAAATGTAAACACCTAAGGCTTAAGAAAATTGAGACTTGATAATAAACCAATACCCGGGTACTTAGAGTTCTTTCAGAATTTTACTCCAAACAGAGATGCTCCAACCTATGACTGAACAAATCTTGCAAAAAGCTCTCAAAGTAGATGGTTAGAAGCACAAGTAAAAAAAACAATTAAGCTCAACAAGATCACTTTTTTTGTTTTGATTTTATATTTTTTTTGTTTTTCAAAAGCTAAATGAAAGAGAAAAAGGAAAAAAAACTAATGCTATAATTACAACAAGTACTATTACATCGGTACGGGAAAAAAAAGTAAGAAAAGTAAGTTTATTAAAACAAAGAGGAAGAAAACCAATTTAACAACCACTAAGAGAGAAAAAAAAATATAACAACAATAAGTTAAAGTTAGAAAAAAGCATAAAGAACTTTAAAACTAAAGTTAAAAAATGCTACTCCCTATTAAACAAAGTGGGTCATGTTAGAAAAAAAATAGGAAAAGGGAAAAAATGCAATCAACAACTATAAGAGAAAAAGTACAACAATAACTAAAAGTTATAAGTAAAAAGATTTTTTTAGAAAGATGAAAAAAACTTAAAAAGAAAGTGGGTTGCCTCCCATAAGCCGCCCAATTTAACGTCTTTGACTAGACAAAATTTACTACTTGCCAATACATATACTCTTAAACCATCAAGTATTAAGAGAAGTGCCATGAGGTTCTTAAAAACATGCAAATAGATAAAAATAAGATAAGCATAAGTACTCTGATTTCAGCTTTGGTTGTCAATTTCTACACCAAGATTGTCACGGGATGCTCAAATAAGAACCTAAACTCAGATCCTAAGTGCATATTTTATACTTCAAACATAAAAAAAAATCAGGTCCTTATGACATTCTTCACTTTGAAACCAAAGTTCAGCAATAAGGGGTCAATATTATATTTGCACAAACAAGCTAGAAGCTTATAAAATTAGTTCCTGTGCAAAATTTACCAAGAATAGTTCAAATTTCAGAAGTATAAGCACTTAGGGAACTCAAAATCAGCTTGGTTTTAAGCAAAATGTAGCAGTTTTTTTTTCAAAACTAAAGCAGTTCAAAACAGATTTTCTGCAAATTCAGCCTTTAGGGCACTAAAATCAGCTTGTAAAAATATGTTAAATTCTCCCAAATCAGTTCCTAACTTCCTATGCAAGTTTTTGATGATTAAAGTTCACAATCCAACAAATAGGCATCTAGGAACTCAAATTCAGCATGAAAATCAAGCAAAGATGTTGCAGATTTTTCCACAAAAACAGCAGTGTAGGTCTGAATTTCAGCAAATTCAGCTTCTAAACCTCAAAAATCAGCATATAAACATCATGATATGCTTCAAAATATTATCCCTAAGCAAAATATAGCAATCATGGTTCATATTTCAAGCATATGAGCACATATTTAGAAGCATATGAGCAGTTCTAGAGACAAAAATCAGCACATACATTAAGTTAAAAAGTGCAGATTTTAAGAAAAATCAGCAACTTTAAATCAAATTTTAGAGCAATGCTGTTTTTTTTGTTCTCTTGCAAAACAATCATCCGGATGCATAAGACTTAACTTCATCACCTGGAGCACTTAGAATCGACATACTTGACATATATCACCAAGAATCCACAAGTAAAAGTTTTGAACATGGTGCTCAGTTTGCAAATTTAGAAGTAAATATTCAAGACACATTGCAAAAATCAACTTTAAGAGCAAAACTTCAGCATGCAAACTAAGAATTTAAGTGCAAGTTTTTTAGCAATCAGTGTGGACTGTGGACAGAGAATCATTTGTGAAAAAAAACACCATAGCTCATTCAAATCAACACATAGCCTGTCTTAGCAACATTTAGCAAGCAAGAAAGCACAAAATAATGTTCAAAATGCAGATTTTCTGAAAAATGGTACCAAATTCTTCACAAAATAGCATATTGATCACAAATTTCAGCATAAACACAAAGAACATTGCTGATTTCAGTTTGCTCTAGCTTTCCTAATCTCAATTGTAGAAATTAAACAAGGAAACAGATATGAACAAAAGAAAGAAGCTACTTCTAGAACAAATTTTCTAACAAACAAAGAACACAAGCACATGCTAAAACGATTTCTTAGAATATTTTCCCTGGCAACGGCGCGAAAATTTGTTGAAGATTTATCGTGCAGTCCAAAACAAATTAAAAATTTATAAAATATCCTTGTTGTGCGGTCCAAACCCAACTTATCAATGAAACTATGGGTGCTTCTACCAATCTTGAAGGACTAAATGCCCCGAGGAGAGGTTGCACTAATGAAGCTATTCAAGGTGCAAGTTCTAATGTAGCCACTTATCTACGCCAAAGAAGGTCTACTTCCGGAACATCATTGACTGCTCAAGAATCTCAAGGTGGTGATGGTCATGGTGAGGTAGATGTGTTGCCACATGATGATGATGTGGAAGATGACTTTGGACAAGCACCACCTTCCCCTCCTCATAGTGTCCAAAATGCAAGCAATGACGTTTTTTATTCCATCTTTCTTGAAGATTTCTGAGACTTTGTTGTCAAGCAATGACTTTTTCAATTCTACGTTTCTTGAGGGTTTTTAAAATTTAAACTTTATCTGCAACATATAACGTGATATGTTTATATTGGTGTTACTAATGTATAGCAATTAGCATTTACTGCTAGTCACCTTATAGTCACTAGGTCGCCTAGGCGCCTAGGCGTCATTGCGGTACACTAGCACTGCAACTCACCTTGGCGACGTGATAACTATGGTTATGATGGATTGAAGATTATATCTTTTGTACAATTCATAGGTTCATTAAGTTGGGTCTTGGTTTTTATCTTTTATTTTATAGTGCATTTTGTTTTTGGTTAGGTTTGTGCCTTCCAGGTTCTATCTAAGATTCTCCCAAGTAGAATAGTGCTCTGAGTAATGATAACACTATTGCTTCATTAGTAGTAATGGCTAAGAGAATTACTAAACCCATTTGACTGCGGGCTCGTAATGATAGTTCGAAACTTTGAATCTCTTGGCCCAATAGAAATGCTAAGATACACAAACAAATACTCCGTATTACCTGCATGATTGTTTCCCAATTGAAGTCTTAAACTGCCAATTCAATCATCATAAAATAATATTCTTGAATGTCATGCATCCCACTTATAGTAGAGCTTAAAATCACTGTCCTTAGGGAACTCGCCTCCAGCAAAGCGAAACCCAACAACGTCGACTTTCCAAGTGGAGTACGTCTCATTCACGGCATAATCGTTGCGGGCGTCATAAACCGCGAAGCTTTTGGATTTGGTGCCCCAATTGAAATCGCACCAGAACAGAGTCGTAGCCCAGACGTTAACGCGGAACCGAATCTCGCGCTCTTGGTTCTCCCCCATGGTCCACACCCCCAGATCATCGGATTTAGATCGGCAGTGCACCTGCAGGTTCGGAGCATGGAGCGAATTGTTGGCCGGGATAGAATCTTGAATCCGCACCACCTTTTTCGGGAGGATAAGGCTAGCGGCACTGGCGATCTGCGGCGGCGCTACTGTTGCGCAAGAGANCACCAGAACAGAGTCGTAGCCCAGACGTTAACGCGGAACCGAATCTCGCGCTCTTGGTTCTCCCCCATGGTCCACACCCCCAGATCATCGGATTTAGATCGGCAGTGCACCTGCAGGTTCGGAGCATGGAGCGAATTGTTGGCCGGGATAGAATCTTGAATCCGCACCACCTTTTTCGGGAGGATAAGGCTAGCGGCACTGGCGATCTGCGGCGGCGCTACTGTTGCGCAAGAGACGAAAAACGTGATGAATAGGAAAGCTGATTTTGAAGAAATCTTATGGCCCGTTTGGGAATAGCTTTAGCTATTATAGCTATTAGCGGTTAGCGTTTTGAAAAAGCTATCTACGGGCAGCGTTTAGCGTTAGCGTTTTCAAAGTAATCTGCACCGTTAAAATTTTATCCAAAACGCTAACGCTAATCTCTAACGCTATCTCCAAACAAGCCCGTAATCTTAAATCAATTGTGTGTGAGCTTGAGGAGCATCAGCCAATGTTTGTATTACAAATATTCCGTAAATCCGTATGTATAATTTATTCATGATCTTCAAATCCATTTAATAGGAAAGTAATCGTATGAGTATCTTACTCCTAAGCCCCTTAAAAAACTTCTATCTTTGCTTTTAAAAATTTTAAGGGAATTATATTTTGGCGTTGACTTTCTAAAAATATTCTTTAATGTTATATATAAAATAGGATGTGATGAGTAAATTAATAGAGAAAAAGGTAAATTAAGATTTAATAGGGATAAAAGTTGTTTTTAATAGGAAAAAAGAAGTTTTTTTGAGACGGATGAAAAAAGAAAAAGTAAGAGTTTTGTGGGACGGGAGTATCTTATATCGTTTAATATAAAATTTAAGAGTTTGAATTCTAAAATTGACATTTGACAATATAATTGACATGCTATGTGGCGTTATAAGGTAAACTGAATTTAGGGGGTATATTCAATCTAGATTTTAATAGATTCTAATACATTATTTAAAATTTATGAATTCTGTAAAATGAATAGATTATTTTAAGTCTACGTAGAGTTAGATGGATTTTAATTTATTTTTAAGAAGGATTTTTTATGATTCTGATAGATTATTTGTAATCAATGTATTATGTATATATAAACATTTTTTCTTTTTCTTTTCTTTTATATTTGAATATTATTTTTCCATTATTTTTCTTTCTTTTTCCTTACTTTTTCCCTTCTTCCCCCACGGTACCTTCTTTCCTTTTCTTTTTCTCTTTTCCTTTTTTTTTTCTTTTCTTTTTCCCTTCTTCTCCCACAAACCCTAGCCGCCGCCATTCTTCTTTTTTTTCTTGTTTCTTTCGTTTGTCGGCTTAGCTCCCACGCCGCCGCCGATGCTGCCGCAACCACCATCGTCGCCCCCAGATTCACCGCCACTGCCTCTCTTCTTCTTTTTCTTTTTTCCTCCGCTGAATTATAATTTCAGAAAAGAATTGATGGAAAAAAAGAAAAGAGGAAAAGATGAAGAGGAAAGGAAGAAGAAGAATAGAGAAGAAACAAGGAGATGATGAAGGAGAGATGAAAAAAACGACCAGAGAGGATGAAGGGGAGACAAAGAAAACGATCGGAGGAAGAAGATGGTCGGATGAAGGATTTTACGAAGAAATTTATAAAATCTCTTGCTTTTGGGTCAGATTTGGGAATTCATTAATATTTATACCCAATGCTTTAAAATCCATTAAAATCTACATTTTTAAAAATCTTTAAAAATCTATCAAATTTTTGAATACCATCATATTCAGAAATTTTTTTTAAAATTTCAATTGAATACATTCAGATTTTAAATGACTTTTTAAAATCTTAATTGAATACCTACAAATTTTCAAAATCTAAAAAAACCCATCAGAATCCTGATTAAATACACCCCCTAAATATTGGTACATTTGACGGACACATGTTAATAGTATGCATGTGTGGCTGCCACGTAAATTAATATTGGCCACATCATAGGACACATGTCAACACTACAACTCTTGAACTCTCTTTTACATGTACACAAGCTCAAAAATATATGATGAAATTAATCAACCCAAGTAACCCATGAAAACCACCAAAAAGCCGAAACAAAAAAAAAGAGAAGAAATACACCAAGTCAAACATATCACACGTATAATCATTATTAGTTTCTTTTTTATGAATAATTCATTTACGGAGTATTTTTTAAAAAAAACTTATATTTTTATTTCGTTCACATAACTTTCAATAAGTTTAAAAGACCATGATTTTTTAATATAAAATATGTTGTTTTAAACTCATAAAGTTTTAAAAGCTATCATAAATATTTTTTCATAAATGTTAAATGAGAATTTAAAGCATGCCATGTAGGATGACACATGTCAACATTTTAAAGACATGCTCAAATATTATAGTAAAGGATTATATAGATCCGGAGTATAAAGATAAAGGAAAGTACTTTTTAAAACATATTTTAATGATAATTCAAAAAAATAATATAGATTTTTTAATTAATTAAAATTCATGTAAAAATACTGTAAATACCAAATTTGAAATAAAAAGATTTTTGAAAAGGTAATTACTATTTAAAAAAATGAATGAAAGGAAAGAGAGAAAAGTAGATGGAAGAATTAAAATACGAAGTAAATATTCAAAATTTTTTATATGCCTTATAGAGAGAAAAAAACAATGATAGTTGACATGTGTCAAGTTTTTGAATTGCCACTTTTCAAGTTCTTGTAGATTGAACTCTTCTTTTTATATATAAAGGATATGTGATAGGATGTAGTATTCTTGTGTAATAAAACTAAAATTGCGTTGGCATAGAGTACCTAAATATACTACTCGGTATTGTCCAGTCGAGACAATATGTTGGGTAAATAAAAAAATAATGCATGCTAACTTTTTATATTATACATGTATATGTAGTATTCTTGTGTAATAAAACTCAAATTGCATTGGCCTATAGAGTGAGGTTCAAGCCAGTGTGGGATGGTCTATCAAAAATTTCTCCGTCCATTTGAGCTACCTATCTTGTTGTGCCATATTTTGTGCATAATGTAGGAGTAAATTTTTTAATTTACTGATTGAATAAAGCTTATAAATATCTAGAAAAAAGAAACACAACTAGTATCTAATATATTTGTTTAATAAACTTTGTGACGACATATGCAAGATGATATTGAAAATTAATTAATTGTAGAGTGAAAAACACACACCTAACATCTAATAATATAAGACCTCTTAGACTTAGGTTTTTTTGCGATTTTTTTCCAAAACATGCAACCATGGAGGTTTGAACCTAAGACCTCTTAGACTTAGGTTTTTTTTGCGTTTTTTTATTTGTTCTTTTTTGTGGGTTGTTCTCTTTTTATGTTTCACTTGTTTTTAGTTTGACTTATTTTATTTTATTAATTGATGAGTTTTATTTATTGAACATTTTAGTTAAACAAAAAATAATGTACCACACGTTTAATGTTTTTGTTTATTCTATTTGAAAACAGATAAAAAAAGTTAACAAACAAAAAATATCAAATAAAACAAACAAATGTTATTTAATTTTATTTGATATTGTTTTATCTTATTTTTGTTTGTTTTTTATCATTTTTTGATTTTTATTTTTATGCTATATTTTATTTTTTTCATCAAATGAAGTAAAAAAACCTAATTGACCTTTGGATTCGTTTTTTTGTGGGTTGTTCTCTTTTTATGTTGCACTTACTCTTAGTTTGACTTATTTTGTTTTATTAATTTATTTATTTTATTTTGTTAATCATTTTAGTTAAATAAAAAGATTGTACCATACGTCTTCTTTTTTGTTTGTTTTATTTGATATTTGAAATTTTTTGTTTGTTAACTTTTTTTGTTTGTTTTCAAATAAAATTTTCAGTAAAATAAAACTCATCAATTAATAAAATAAAATAAGTCAATCTAAGAATAAGTGAAACATAAAAAGAGAACAACCCACAAAAAAGAACGAATCAAAATGCTAATTAATTTTTTTCTTCATTTTTATGAAAAAATAAAATATAAAAAAATAACAAACAAAAAAGGATAAAGAAAAAAAATAAGACAAAACAATATCAAAAAAATAAAAAAATTAAACAAACAATAAAATAAAACACTTCTTAAGAGAATAGATAAAAAACTTACAAAAAAAAGTTCACACAAAACTTGTTAACAAACAAACAAATTCTCCGTAATATAAAAGTATCAAGAAAAAAAGAATAAAAAAAAACAAACGAAAATTTTAACAAAAACAAAAAATAAAAAAATGTAAAAAAGGAAAGACAAAAAGAGGGAGTTCAAGAAAAGAGTGAGGGGGATGATGGGAAAACAGAGGAAAGGAAGGGGGCTGGGAGGGGGTAGGGGTGGGGTGATGGAGCTTTGAAGAAGAAGAATAAAAGTGGGTGAAAGAAGAAGAGGAAGAAGAAAAGAGGTGAAAGAAGAAGAAAAAAAGGAAGTGGGAGGAGGGAGAAGAAGAAAAGGAAATGGGGTCAAATTAAAAATTGTAAAATATAAAAAATTAAAATTTGGCCCAAATGACGTGGTTACCTGAAAAAACCGGCTTCAGGTACTATCCGTGAAAGATTTTCAAAGTTCAGGGATTTTTTTGAAAGGTTTTAAAGTTTAAATACTGAATCAAAATTTTCGTGAAAATTGAGGTACCATTTTATAAATTTACCCCAAAAAAGATTAGAAACATAAACTTTGAGGGTAAATTTCACATATGGTACACCAACTTTGACGTTTATTTCATTTCGGTATACTAACTTCGTTTTTTTTCAACTATGGTATTTTAGTAGGTTTCCACTTTCCAGGTTACAAGTCGATTATCTATCCTACGTGAATGCCTACTTGGCGCACCAATTTAAATTACTACCTTCTTCTCTGTCGTTTCTGTCCTCTAACGCATCATCCTCTCTTGAAGCCTTTGTTTGGTTAATAAGAGAAAATAGAAGGAAAGAAATTGATGGGAAAGAAAAAGAGAAGAGAAAATGATGAGAAAATGAAAAGAAAATAATTGTTGTTTGGATGAGTAGAAAATGATGAGAAAAGCAAGAAGAAAGAAAATGTAATAAAATCAAAAGACAATTTTGTCCTAAAAAGAAAAAATGTGAAAACATAGGTAAGATGATTTGTGGCTGTAAAGAAGATAATGAAAAGGCATATTTGTAATTTGGTTACTTTTCTCTCCACTTGCGTCTTTTTCTCTCCTTTGTAGGTGAGAAAACTTTTTTAGCCAATTTTCTCTCTCTTCTCCCTTTTTTTCCCATCCAAACCAAACGAAGGAAATTTTCTTGAAAAATGTGTTTTCTCATCTTAGATTTTCTTTCTCTCCAAAATCTCTCCATCCAAACAGCCTAGAAATGTTCGGCCGTCCAAATCCACCGCGCGAACCGTCGCTCCACCCTCTCGTCGCTCCATAACCTCAAATTCATGGAGGGGAATCTTCAGCGGCTGAGAGAAACGTAATTTCTTCCGAGGCGGAAGAGAATTTAAGTATGGTGGGCGGTTTTTCGGGAACGCCGCTGGCAGCAACGACAGATCTTAGCAGAAGGGGGGGGGGGGCTTTAGAAGGCCTCCGGGTGGACTTCTTCCTCAGCAGCGGCAGATTTCTTCTTCCTCCAGGTGGACTTCTTCCTCAACACTGGCAGATCTCAGCAGCGGTAGGTTTCTTCTTCCTCAATTTTTTTCCAATTTCATTTGTTTTAATCTTTTTATTGTCTATTGTTTCAATTTCCTTAAGGTAGTGTTTGGCAATTAACATTTCATTTCAATTCATGCATTTCAATTCCAAAATTTGAAATCTTGAATTTCAAATGACAAGGGGAGGTGCATGGATTTCAAATTAAGCATTGTTTTGAATGTAAAGAATTTGACTCAAATCCAAATTCAAAATGCTTAGATTTCCCAAACATGGAATTTAAGTCAAATCCGGATTTGAAATCCAAATCCATGTTCCCAAACGTACCATAATTTTAATCTTTTTATTTTTTCCTCAATTTTTTTTAATTTCATTTGTTTTAATTCTAAACCATTCAATCAATTTTGAATTTTTTAATTTCAATTTTATTTTTTAATTCCAATAACTATTATTTAATTAATTTTAATCTTTTTATTTTTTCCTCAATTTTTTTTCAATTTCATTTGTTTTAATTTTAAATCCTTCTTTCATGTAATCAATGGACCTGGAATATCTGGATCAGCTTTTGGATTAGTTAGGATAACTAACTGAATGGAATATTAGGCACAATATCCAAAGAGTCTGCCTTGCCAGAGTTGCAGGACAAACCGTGTTTACTACGCTTTTACTGTCCAATATCTGGTCTTTATTTTATGGACTCATATTAGTTGGTAGAAGACATAATTTGTATTGGTATCATTTAATAACATGTATGACCAGCATTAAAATAATTAGGAGACAATGCCTCATGTCTATACATTTTAAAAAAATATGCATGTGGTTTTTATGTCAGTTATGATAGATCCTTTTATCTAAGTATCATCTTCCCTATAAATAAAATCAATCACAAACTTTAATATCAGTTTGAACACACAGATGAAATTTGTTATTCAGATTATATTGGGTACTTGAGTAATAGTTGGATATCAATATTGTGAAAGGAGACATTGCTTATAACATTTATTACATCCTTGAGGCGGGAATGTTTGTCTAATGATTTGTATTTCTGTATGTGCGACAAGATTTATTCCATTTCCTGATGAGTTTAACATGACAAATCCCCTCCCCTAAATCATTTATTTTTTCCTGCAGGTCATTGTTATGGCGGCACTTGCAATCTTTCACCTTAGTCCCACAAACCTTGCAAACAGGGCATATAGACTTTCCTTTATGGGAACAACATGTTCAACATTGTATTCTTTGTATGCATTATATGGGGTAAATTCTCATTATATGGGCAATTTGGAAAGGCGCATTCCCGACTTCATACTCAATTTGGGCAATTGGGCAGATCCCATCACTGACTTCATAGGCAGTTGGTTTGGGCAATTGGGCAACGCTCATTCCCGACTTCATAACCAGCTGGTTTGGGCAATTGGGCAGGGCACATTTCGGACTTCACACGCAAACAATGTGCTAGGAACAAGGAGATCCAGTAGAGTACTACAACACCCTTTCTTCTCGCATTTATCCTCTCTCCAAATAGCCCCTCTGCCATTTCCGAAAAAAGAGGAGGAAGGTCGAGTCGAGTACTACAGCAAGACTGAAACTTATTTCAATGGCCTCCTCCACGGCTCCTCTCTCAGAGAATGATGTTGTGCCTCATGGCCATCCTGCCCCAGCACTGTATTTGCCTTTTGTGTCTATCGGTTTGAGTATAAGTGTGCTTATATTTGTCCTAATCATTTTATTTTTGTGTTGGAAGCGCTACTGGACTCACCGTCGTAAGAGGTCCGGGAAAGTAGGAGTCTTAAGAAAACTTCTGATGTTCCTATTGAATCACACGCTATATCACTTAAAGCTTCCGAGGTTCTTATTCGGTCACATACCAAATCATTCCAAACTCTTTAGCAGGCGCGATAGAGAATTTTAATCTAGACAATGTGTTAAGAACAAGAGTTTTTGGGTTTGTATATAAAGGAGAATTGGATGATGGTACCAAGATTGTCGTAAAGAGGATGAAATGTAGCAGGTCAATTGATGCAAAACGAATGAAAGATTTTCAATAAGAGATTGCACTTATTACCGCGGTAAGACACAAACATCTCGCTGCATTTCTCAACTAATGCATTAGTGGAGACGAGAGACTTTTGGTGTATAAATATATATATACTCAAGGTAGTTTAAGTCTCTATTTATTCAAATGGAGGAAGCATGGATCTCCACATCTGACTTGGGCGCAATGGCTAACAATAGCTTTCGATGTGGCAAGGGGGTTGAGTACCTGCATTGCTTGGCTCAACAAGGTCTCATTCATCAAGATTTAAAACCATCAGATATCCTTCTTGATGATAATATGAGAGCTAAGGTTGCTGATTTTGGGTTGGTGAAAAGAGTACCCGATAAGAAGTCCTCATTGTTGACAGTGTTGAGTTAAGGGAAATGTGTTCATTCCTTATATACTCATCTTTCCAACCCAGACAATGTAAATATGAGAGCTAAAGGAAATGTGTTGACCTAAGGAAATGTGACTTAATATTTGGCAGAAAACATAATTGACATGTTTCTCTCGTGGGCTAAAATATGCAACACTTTTGATATCGAGTCATACAATGCACATAAGTACTTACTGTATTTTTGTGAAAAATACCCAAATGTTCCGGCCAACACCGTCAACAATGAGGATTTTCATCAGGTGCTCTTTTTACCAAAACAAAATTGACAACCTTAGCTCTTATATTATCATCAAGAAGGATATTTGATGGTTTTGAATCTCGATGAATGAAACCTTGTTGAGCCAAACAATGCAGACACTCAACCCCCCTTGCCACATTGAAGGCAATGGTTAGCCGTTGTGCCCAAGTCAGATGTGGAAATCCATGCTCCCTCCATTTGAATAAATGGAGACTTAAACTACCTTGAGTCATATATTTATACACCAAAACCCTCTCGCCTCTACTAATGCAATAGTTGAGAAGTGCAACGAGACTTTTGTGTCTCACCGCGGTAATAAGTGCAATCTCTGATTGGAAATCTTTCATTCACTTTGCATCAATTGACCCACCACATTTCATCCTCTTTACGACAATCTTGGTGTCATCATCTAATTCTCCTTTATATACAAACCCAAAAGCTCTTGTTACTAACACATTGCCTGGGTTAAAATTGTAATTGTCTGTCACGCTTGCTAAAGAGTTTGGAATGATATCGTATGTGACCGAATAAGAACCTCGGAAGTTTGAAGTGATATAGTGTGTGATTCAATAGGAACATTAAAAGTTTTCTCAGGACTCCCTACCCTGCCGAACCTCTTATGACGGTGAAACCGGTAGCGCTTCCAACACAAAAATAAAACGATTAGGACAAATATAAGCACACCTATACCCGAGCCGATGGACACAAAAGGCAAATACAGTGTTGGGACAGGATGGCCATGAGACACAAGAGCATTCTCCGAGAGAGGAGCCGTGGAGGAGGCCATTGGAATAGGTTTCAGCCTTGTTGTAGTAATCGACTCGACCTTCCTCCTCTTTTTTTCGGAAATGACAGAGGGGCTGATTGGAGAGAGGATAAATGTGAGAAGAAAGGGGGTTGTAGTACTCTACTCGATCTCCTTGTTCCTAGCACATTGTCTGCTTGTGAAGTCTGGGATGCGCCCTGCCCAAATCAGCTGCTTATGAAGTCGGGAATGAGCGTTGCCCAACGCTCTTGTTCCTAACACATTGTCTGGGTTAAGGGAAAGTATATAAGGCTTGTATTTCATAAGATTTCGCCATGAAGACTCAACACATTGTCTGGGTTAAGGAAAAGAGTTCCCGATGGGAAGTCCTCATTGTTTTTATTTTGACACGAGTACACATTGTCTGGGTTAAGGGAAAGATGAGGGTGACGATATTGAGTTCAACATGAGTTTTCCTCGAATGCTTTAAAGATAGCAAGCTAGTGAAGGGATTTCCAGAATGTTCGGCAATGAATTGGATTCTGTCCACATAGCCAACAATTGACGAAATTAATCCCATAGGTCAAGCACTCATCTTTGTGGAAGATGACTTATTATGGGTTTGCTCCTCAACCAATCCAATTTTGGTGCAACATTTGCTTTTATTGCAAGGTATTGTGGAAGATGACTTATTATAGGGTTAACTCATGTTTCTCATTTTGCTAAGTCCGTGAATCAATTATGCGATGGTAGTAAGTGGCTTAATACTTCTAAAATGATGGTTTCTACTTTAGAAAAGATCAAGATAAGTTGTAGTCACTATATGTAGGTTGTTTAAGACTAGATTCTGTAGTCATATGCTTTGTTATTTAGAGTTTTTGTTTTGCCTTCCAAGTATTGAAATATAATTGTTCCATATTGTAAGGTTTATAAAGAATTATCAGTATTTTCTATACTTTTTTTTGTGTTTTTTTGTTTGTATTATTAGCTTGTTGATTCTTGGAATCATTTCTTCTGAATTATTGTGTAGGGAAGCTACAAAAGGTTTTATGAATTACAAGCCTCATATTATCATAAGTGTACATCCTCTTATGCAACATGTGCCGCTTCATATCTTGCGGGCAAAATTTTCTGTTTATATGCATCATTTGGGTTTTCATAAATGATTTACTTCCAGGGGACTGTTTTTATGTGCTGGTATAGTGGCTTCTTGAAGATGATAAGAAACCTCAAGGAAGTAAATGGTGTAACATATGAAGATGAATATGCAACATCTCAGATGTTTGGGTCGGATGAAGAAGTTGCTTCTTAAATTCCAACCCAAGCCCAATCTCTTGTTGATGAGTCAGTCTGGTGCAGTTCTGATTGCTGAATACAAGCCAGTTCCTGCTGTGGATTATTTATAGGATGCCATAATCCTCCTGATGTCATAGGCTTTTTGTCTAGCAATTCAACAACGAGGTCCATGATATATTGGCTTTTTTTGGAACACGGAATATGGGATTCATTTATCAAGAACTTGTTGATATTCTTAGCTATGATGTGGTTATAACGATGTTATGATGGTGCTGATTTAAATAGTGGTGATTCCTGGACATTTTCATGGTTTCTAAACCTTTTTCTTGTTTTACTTTCTTTTGGTAATTTTTTTGCTAATTTTGTCTTAACTTTCCTCCAGAAAAACCATATTTTTACGTCTGGTGCCTCAGAATGCTGCAGTTATAAGAGGTACACTCCGTGCTGAGAAGCAATTCCTCATTGCTTTCAGAAGCAAGGTGTGTATACGAAGACTTGCTTTCAATTTCATGAATCCATGTGGCGCAATGCTGTTTTCCATTTGGATTTATTGACGTGACATTGCTTTCACTTTATACATACAAAACTAATTCCTTGAAATTTTGTTGAAAAAAAGAAGGAACAAACAGAGTGATGGGAATCTATTCAGTGGATGTCATTTTTGTAAGATACAAATGGATTACGATCATTTAGCTCTCAGGAGTCGCTATTTGCCATGGTTGTCTAATTGGACACATACAGTATGTTGCTCGCCTTCTTTACTCGTTATCTTCATCGTATATAAAGACTGTGCATTCTTTTCCTTGTTAGTTTGTGTTGTCTTTGGTAGATTCAACAACAATAACAACCCAGTTAAATCCCACAAGAGTAGGGTCTGGGGAGGGTGTGTGTACGCAGACCTTACCCCTACTCGAAAGTAGAGAGGCTGTTTCCAAAGAGACCCCGGCTCAACAACGAAAGTTGCATTGCTTGACTAACTGTTACTTCATTAATTAAAGAAGCGCAGACAGTTTAGAGATCTATTTTGATTTATTCCATCACACCCCAAAGCCAAAAAATGATGAAATTTTGGCTCCATCGGAGATGATGGAAAACTTTGGTAGATTCAGAAAACAAAAAAGTTTGACCTGATTTTCTGTTCATTCCATGTGGCGTGAGATAAGTAGCAATTGTTTTGAGGGACCACTTTTTCATGTTGATGCCGAATTTCAGACAATAAGCAGCTAGTTGGACTGATTGCTTGATAAATTTTTGTCAACTAGACACGAACCTTTGTGTAATGTCATAGCTACATTTACACAATTGGGAGGACGCTTTATTGCAAATGCAATATTTCTTTGTCCACAATAGATCTTCTCATTTCATTTTTTAACAATTAAAATACCACAACTACCCTCACTTTATTTATTACACCTCACCCACCTCATTTAATACACTCCACCCATTTTTCATTAAGGGTATTATGGTAAACTTTCACCTTTTTTCAACTCTTCTTAAAAACCACCAAAAGTCAAGTGAGAACATCTTAGGGGGACGGAGGGAGTAATATTTATTGCAAATGCAATATTTCATTATTATATATCCTTATTTTGTTTATATAGAACAAAATGATCCTAAAATTTCCTATTACTTTCCCAATCAATGCTTAGTTTGTAAGGAGTATATTTTTTCCCATAAATGGTTGGGTATTGAAAGTTAAGGAAGCAATATTCAAGCTTGTGGTCATAGTATATCAAACTCCTTTTGATTCTTAATCTAAGTTAGTTTTCAACTGGGTTGTTGTTAGTTTTCCAAGCAAAGGAGAACTTGCTGGCTGCTGCAAATCTTCTCTTTATATGCATCATTTGGGTATTCATAAATGATTTACTGCCATGGGATTGTTTTCTATGTGCTGGTATACTAGCTTCATGAAGATGATAAGAAACCTCAACGAATGAAGATGAATATGCAACAACTCAGCGTCGGATGAAGAAGTTGCTGCTCAAATTCCAACCCAAGCCCAATCTATTGTTGATGAGTCTGGAAGCCAGTTCTTGATGTGGCTTATTTACAGGTATGCCACTATCCTCTCCTCCTAAATTTGTAACGAACTTGGCAAAGCCATTCAAACAAAGGTTTTTTGTCTAGCAGGAGCTATGAGCAATTCAACAACAAAGTCCAAGAAATATTGGCTTTTTTTGGAACACGGAATTTGGGATTCATGCATCACGAACTTGTTGAGATTCTTAGCTATGCCATGGTTATAACGCTGTTATGATGGTGTTGATTTAATTGGTGGTGACTATTGTACATTTTCATGGTTTGCAAACCTTTTTTGTTTTACTTTCTTGTTGTACTTTTTTTTTGCTGATTTTGTCTTCATTTTCCTCCAGAAAACCATATTTTTACGTCCGGTGCCTCAGGGACCAATGCGGCAGTTCCATGCTGAGAAACCGAAACTACTGACTGTCATATTGCCACAAAGTCTGAGCAAGCAGCTGCCCGAAAGCCAAGAGTTTCTGTCTACTGTCTAGAGTAAGAACTTTGTCTTAATTACTTTTATTTAGTGCCATTAATGAAAATGTAGTTGAGAACACCCCTCCCTGGGTGGTTAGTAGTATACTAGTAGGTTCTTAGATCTTTCAATATGTTTGCTAAGGGTCCATTTGGTACCTAGAAATTACTAGAGAGAAAATATAAAAAGCATATTATGAGAAAATGTGGGAGGAATTGTAGGAAAATAATTGGAAGAAAAAAACAAATGCAGACATGTTTATAAAATACTCTGTTTATATACTCCAGATTTGATTTTTTTATTGTGAACTACATTCAGGAATTCTATGTTCCTGGATTATTTATAGACATCAACCAACACAACTTTTGGTACTAATCAACACATCTATTACTAACTAATACAACTTCTAGAAATAACTACCTTTCACCTCCAGAAATAATTACCCCTGTCCCTTTTAAAATTTAAATCTAAACTAATAACTTATGACCAGGAATTAAACAATACGATTAAATCTAACAATCACCCCCCTAATCGTTGTTTGTTCACACCAATCTTCACAATAATGTTGGTTCATCATCATTTTCAATCAAATTTGCAATGTCTTCCTTTTGATCCCATTTTGGTTATTCGTTCAAAAAATGTCCTAACTCATTGCACTTGAAACACTTAATGTGACTCTTATCCCGCTGAAGCCGACCGCCATCCTGACCTTTCCCGGACCCCCGACCTCTACCTCGGCCACGTCCAAAGTCTTCTCGGTTTGAGCTCTAGCAACCACAATGCTCACATTTCTGCTCCTGAACCTTCTCTTTTCCATCACCTTTAGTGAATAATAGTTTACCATGTGTATCTCCTTCCTCAGCTGGCTTTCTAATGCGTTCCTCGAATGCTTTCAATCTTCCCACCGCTTCTTGAAACGGCATTGTGTTAATGTCAGCAAACTGTTCAATTGCAGCAACGATTTGTATGAACTTTTCAGGCACAGAACCCAAAAGCTTTCGAACCAATCTTTTGTCTTCAAATGCAGACCCAAGGTTGTTAGCTTGTGTTGCAAGTTGACTAATTTTACCAGCAAAATCATCAAGTGACTCATTGTTCTTCATCTTTAGAGTCTCAAAATCTGATTCAAGTGTCTGTAATCGCGCCGCTTTAACCCTGTCAACACCAACGAAGCGAGTCTTCAAAGCATCCCAAATTTCTTTTGCTTCCGTAAACTGAGCAACTTGTAGTACGATCTCTTCTGGCAAAGCTTGAAACAGATATGCTATTGCCATATTGTTCTTCTTTGGATCGATTTCTGTTCCTGGTTCGATCACCTCCCAAA